CCCCTAGGTTTCCCCCCCCCCCCCCTCCTTTCACGATCTACCTTTTCACTGCTACATGTATATTGAATACTAATTTTCACCAGCTTTGAATGCATACACACTTCTCCTGTTCTGCGGCCCCATCGAGCTGGACACCTTGGGACGCGGCCTCTTGGTTGATGGATGGCTCCGGCTTAGGGGCTGGGCGCGACTGGGAGTCTTGGTGGCCAGACTGAGGGCCATGGTAGATAATCTGATTGCTGAAAAGGTGGAAAATCCGGGGCTCGATTTGGCGGGGAATAAGATAATCAGGCTGGTGATTAAGATGATAGAGCTGGATGGACTGGATGCTTGAGATGAGAGCAGGGTAGACTACTGAGAACTTGGCTTAGAATCTACTGATGTTTCATGGCCAAATTGAAGTGAATATTACTTAACCGAACAATGAGAAACAAGATGTATCCAAAAAGCTAGAGGAGTGTAAAGAGCATCAGTATTCAGTTATGGTGAAGGCATCGCTGGAGCTATTCTATTTACACCAATGACGACCTCGTTACATAGTTTTGGAGAGTTGTGGTGGGGCTGCCATTTCAGGCATTTTCCATGCACTTACTCCATCCGCCACTTACTTAACTCACTTCAACCCACTTCAACTCACTTCAACTCTTCAAATCTGATACAGCCTGCTCTGCATTTTCCTTTACTCTGTTCATATATAATTTTGAGTTTTTTCTTTTCTTCAACTCATCTCAATCATGGCGGATTCAGACTCGGAAGAAGGATTGACAAGGGAGGAGATGCAGCAGCAGGAGGAAGTCGAGCCGCCGCCAAAGCGAGCCAAGCAAGATGCCTGTACGTTAATCTCGAGCTTCATCTCCTCATCTTCTCTCTTCGCACATCCATCATTATGATTTGATGTTGTGAGATTATATAAAGTTTCTGCTTCACTTTTTAAAAATAAATCAAGAAATCAAGGAATCGCCAGCTAATCAGAGCCACATGAAACCATCACCACGTTCAGTCGCAAAACTCATGGCCCCTAAGCCAAAGCCCATCCCAAAGCCTCCCAGCTCACGGCCTCACCTCTTCAAGAACCGCATGGCATTGGGCGCATACATTGCCGACCCCGAATCATATCCCGCCTCCGTCGTCATCTACCACAACGCAGATTTCGTCGTCATCCACGACAAGTTCCCCAAAGCCACGGTGCACACGCTGCTGCTGCCGCGGTCGCCCCGGCACAGCCTATTGCATCCCTTTGAGGCGCTGAAAGATGAGGAGTTTCTGGCAAAAGTGAAGATTGAAGTTGAGAAGCTAAAGGTGCTTGCGGCGGGGGAGCTGCAGAGGCGGTTGGGCGCGTTTAGTCGGGCTGATGCGGCGAGGGAGGCGGTGCTGAATGGCGAGACGGAGGTGCTGGATGATGATGGAGGACAAAGAAAGGGGGAGACAACAGCAAAAACAGAAGATGAGGGAGAAGACAAAGACAGAGACAAAGATAAGCAGCCAAAACTGCCCTCCGGAAGAGACTGGGCCGCCGAAATCAAGTGCGGCGTGCACGCGGTCCCCAGCATGGGCCATCTGCACATCCACGTCTTGTCGCGGGACATGCACTCGCCGGCCATGAAGCACCGCAAGCACTACAACTCGTTCAACACGCCGTTCCTAGTGGACGTGGCGGATTTCCCGTTGGAGAGCGACGATCTCAGGAGGGGGCCTAGAGAGGAAGGCTTTATGAGGCGGGATTTGGTGTGCTGGCGGTGCGGGGAGAATTTTGGGAACCGGTTCAAGGAGTTGAAGGAGCATTTGGAGAAGGAGTTTGAGGAGTGGAAGAGGGAGTGATGTGTTGGTGAATAGATAGGTATATGTTATAATGCTTGGGAGATTATAGTATAGCATCCAAGGAGAGAACCAAAGAGACAGATATAAATCATTAGATGGTTACTTTTCATCATTGCGCCATGATTCAGTTTCATATGTGATGGAACTCGTGATAAGGCTCTGCATGCAGATGGAATAGATAGATGTAACTGGCACATATTCCGCCGCCTCATGCCAGGGCCCTCCCTCCTCATCCAGCTGAAAGCAAAGGTCGTCGTCAAATCCATTAATAATACAATTCCGAGCTCCCAAAAAACGCCCGCCGGTCCATGTTGTTCTTCATCCCATCACCGCTTCTCTCTCTGTCTCTCTCGGTCTCTCTCGGTCTCTCTCTCTTGTATGTCGTCCCTGAGGATGCCCTCTTTTAACTTTGTCCTCGTCATACGCACATGCACACAAGCACACAAGCGATCCAAATTACAAAAAGCCCGAGTCAGCTCACCGAGGCCTCATTCATCGTCATTGTCATAGTCCACCTGGTCCTCCTGTAACGAAGACAAAAGAATATTGCAACCAGAATCAGCCAATCATGTTCTTGAAACGTGAGAACCACGCCGGTGATGTGAATGATGATGAAGGACCGACCTCGTATTCGGGAGACTGCTGCGGCGTGGAGGCCGATCTGGCCCCGGTGCGCGCATCACTTGCCACGTCTACAAGGGAGAATTGGGAATCGTGTGAGTGGTCCGTCTCTTTGATGATTTTGGAGATTTTATGTGCTTTTGCGTTGGCGACGGTTGGACTTACCACCGATGCCTGGCTGATTACTGGCAGCGTCGTCCTCGGCCTCAGCCTCAACATTGGCCTCGGACTCTGCGGTCGCTGCCTGGTCGTCGTCCTCCTGAGTCTGCGCAACGTCCGACTTGCGCGGCCTGCCCCGACGCTTCTCGCCCGGCGCCAATGGCGGCAGCACCTTCTTGGCCGCCTTTGCCTTTGCCTGTCCTCCCTTCTTGACGCTGCCCTTGGGCCTTCCTCGCGGCTTGCCGGTGGGCACATACGGCTTTGCGGGGGATTTCGCGGTTGTGCCCTTGGGCCGGCCGCGACCGCGACCAGGGGTCTTCTTCACGCCAGCATCTTGGGTGGCCTGGTGGGTGATGTCTGTGGATGCGTTGTTCGCCGCCTTGGCGTCCTCCTTGGTGCGCGCCATCGCGGGCCGTATGTTTGCTTTTCTTGCGACAGAGGGAATTGGGAACTGCAGAAAAGGGGGTGCAGAGGTATTCGGGTCGTGGAACCTGGTTGCCACGGGAGGGAGATGAATTGAGATGTTTGTGAGGGTGCTTGGTCTGGCTGGTATGAAAGAGAAAATAAAAGAAAAAAATTCTGGAAAAAAAAACGGGTGATGATGAGATACGCGACTTTGCGCGTGACGAGAGACAGACAGAAAGACTAGGGACAGGTGGGTTAGCTGCGGTGGACGGAGCCAGGTTTCTGGGGAAGGGAGCCAGCTCAAACGCGTAAAAGTACCTTTTTGTTTCGTCCAAATCACCCCTTGTCCACGTATCTGTGGCGACAAAATTAGCTGGACAGGCTTGGTGTTGTGGTTGCAGAGACGATGAATGCGATATTATAGCCGGGTGAAGCTGTTTTGTCCAGCTGGACTTAGCTAAGCAGCGGTGCTATGTCAGCGATCGGCATCAGCCACGGCCAATATATTGCACGCCACAGTTGCGCACAATGCGCCACCAGCGCCTGGTCGGGCTTGTTTACCCTGGCAACCGCCGCCCAGCACCGCTTCGGGCAAGAGCGAGTAAACAACACCGCACCATCCTGGAGACGAGAAAGGCCGACTAATGTAGCACATTCTTCGCCTCCGCCTCCACGAGAGCTTCCATAGCATCACTGAGACACTGCGCACAATGGCCATGGACGAACGATTTATGCCGTCGCCGTCGCCGGCCCCCGAGGTGCGCTTCATGGCCTCCTCGGCCTCGACGCCTTCGCTGCGGTCGCGGGATGTCGATGTCACCACTATGCCCGCCATGTCGAGAATGGATCGCGGCGGCAACGTCAAGGTTGTCGTCCGCCTGCGGGCGTTTCTAGAGCGAGGTACTATCTTTCTTCAATCTTGCACTATTATATCAGAAGCAGAGGCACAAAAATGAACTATTTAATTGGTCCAGCTGCTGACGTGGACAGACCTGGAACGAAATGCTCAATGCCTCGTTGACATGGACCCCGTCTCCCAAATCACTACCCTCAGAGCCCCCGAACCAGAAGGCGTTCGTCCTTCAAGCCCGAGCAAGTCCCGCAAAATCACGGGCGACAAGAGCTTCGCCTTTGACAACTCCTTCTGGAGCCACGACCCCGACGACAAAGACTATGCCAACCAGGAAGACATTTACAACAGCCTCGGGGAAGAGTTCCTCGACCACAATTTCGAGGGCTACCACACTTGCATCTTCGCCTACGGCCAGACTGGCTCCGGAAAGAGCTACACCATGATGGGGACGCCCGAGAACCCGGGCCTGATTCCCCGAACCTGCGAGGATCTGTTTGAGCGCATCGCAGCCGCCCACAACGAAAACTCAAACGTCGCTTACAACGTCAGGGTCTCCTATTTCGAGGTCTACAACGAGCATGTCAGAGACCTCCTGGTGCCTGTCGTCCCCAACACCACCCCAAACTATCTCAAGATCCGCGAATCGCCGACCGAGGGCCCATATGTCAAGGATCTCACTGAAGTGCCTGTGCGAAACATTCACGAGATCATGCGGTACATGAAGGTGGGCGACGCATCCCGCACTGTGGCAAGCACCAAGATGAACGACACCAGCAGCCGAAGCCACGCCGTCTTCACCATTATGCTGAAGCAGATCCACCACGATATGGAAACAGACGAGACCACAGAACGCAGCTCTCGTATTCGTCTGGTTGACCTGGCGGGCAGCGAGAGGGCAAAAACAACCGAGGCGACGGGAGCACGACTTCGAGAGGGTAGCAACATCAACAAGTCTCTCGCCACTCTGGGCCGGGTCATTGCGGCGCTGGCAGGACCCCCCAAGCAGCTGCGATCGGGCAAGAGAAAGGATGTTGTGCCCTATCGAGATTCCATCTTGACATGGCTGCTCAAGGACTCTCTCGGCGGCAACAGCAAGACGGCCATGATCGCCTGCATTGCCCCTGCGGACTACGAGGAGACGCTCTCAACACTTCGTTACGCCGACCAGGCCAAACGCATTCGCACCCGTGCCAAGGTCAACCAAGACCACATCACATCCGCCGAGCGCGATGCTCAGATTGCCGCCATGGCGCAAGAGATTCGACTGCTGCAGCTATCCGTCTCGGACTCCCGCCAGCGCGAAAAGAATGCTCAAGAGGCAGAAGAGCGCCTGGAAGAGTACCAGATCAGCGTTAGCACCATGCAGCGCATGATGGAGGAGCGCAGCATGGTTGCGGAAAGCAAAATCAAGAAGCTGCAGACAGAGAACGAGGCCCTCAAGCTGCATCTCAAGCTGGCTATTGAGAGTCTCAAGAACCCCATCCCGGCGATTGAGCTCGACAAAGAGTCTTCAGACGATGAGGACTACGACTATGACTCTGAGAGTACAGCAGCAGATGATGAACTTCAACAGGAAATGGAGCGCTACTTGCAGGACATGGGCAATCTGCGCAAGCTTATTGGCGGCGATCTTACGAGGTTCAAAGACAACGACAGCGTACGTATGCCTCTTGGCGGCTAATGATATGACCATGGTCTCAAATTTGGACAATGGAAGGGGAGCTGGCACCATGATAGTCAAGTTGACCTTGACTTGAGTTGCTAAGAGTTGATGCAGGACAGGAGGAAAGGGTTGTTAATTCTGCCACATACAAAGCTGTATGTACGCGTATGAGCGATGGTGTTTGGGAAATACTTTTCTTGCTTGCTTAATTTAAATTATCAATGAACACACGGCTGGATAGTCTGTTCGGTTAGTTGGAGAGATTCGTTTCTTTCTCTATCTTTCTTACTCTTTTACGTCTTATTGGCGCGAAACAATTCGTCAGGTTATGCCAATGAATGAGAGACGTTCATCTCTAGCTACTACTAGATTGTGGGAATATACGAAATTTGAATAACCTTAAACATCTATCTGTGTTCTGAAAGAGTCCCACCTCTTCTCTTAGGCGGCCTTTGGTCCTCGTTTGGTCATTCATTTCCAAAGCCGGTGCCGAGGCTATCACTCGCTTGCCTCCTTTGGACAATGACGAAATGACCTGGATAACTCGACAAGTTGGCACATTTCATCAATCAGAAATCAACTCCGAAAGCGTTGAAACAGGCACCGCAGACATGAGACCACTCCCAAGGCCAAGGAACCGAAACAGAACAGAACGGATAGGTAAAACAAAATGGCAAGCCCTCCGCACTTGCGGCCTACGTGAAACAAAAGCACTGCCCGGAAACGACGCTGCCGAAGAGTGAACATCCGACGAAGAAAAACAAGAAGAAAAGAGGGATGTCGATCACACAAGTCCGCTGCCGGGAGGATTTCCCGTCTCACGTTTTCGAGGCGGCTGCGTCAGGTGAAGCATGGAGAGAGCCCTCGGGAGAGCAAAAAGAGGACTGGACCCTTGTTTCCGATATATTAGTGGCTAGGGACTAAGCCCAGGGGGACAAACGCTACAGGTGAAAGAGTTGGCACAAGCTCGGCCTGTAGAGCCGCACAGGCAGCAGACTCTCTTTTGAGAGGTCTGACGTCTTGAAAGAAATCAGTTGACGAGCTGAAAAATGCAACTAGAGCATCATCCTTTGTTCAACTGGCGAGTCACACGCGTTGCCGCTTTCAACGGTGTTTCGAGAGGCGCCTGGATGCACAGCACAATCCACATTGAGCCACTAAGACGGCGCTGGACTGAAGACCCCTCTTCGCTGGAAGGCCGCTGAGCAGGCCGCTATGGCGCCCCCTTGTAAAATCCGCTTCCCCTTCTAAAGCTCGAGCTCTCAATTGGAGGCAGTATTTCTCTAGGCGAGGAAGTGGATGCATGGTTTTAGTGCTTGCTTGGGCCAGGGCCAAGTATCAAACCCCGCCACGACAAGGCTATGAGTGACAACGCAGGAGAGGCCCTGTCCAGCTGTTACAACGTCGACAAGTTGGTGTAGATATTTGGACTTGTATCTGCTATTTAACGTCCTTGGGCATTCTCGTTGCTGGATAGACGGACAGACTGAGATATCTGTAGCCAGTCCTTTGTTGCAGCTTTCTGTATTTCTGTTTCTTCTTTCACTCTTTCAATCTCTTTCTCCTTTGCTTTTGCTGTCTGTCCCGCATCACCCCCAAAAGACAAACAACAACAAAACACCATGGCCGCAAGACCACAGCTCTTCACCCGCGGGCTCTCCGGCCTCGCGCAGAGCTCCAGCTCCAACGAAGTCAGCTCTCCAGCCGAGCAACGCGACGACGCCAAGAGCAACTTCTTCAAGTCAATGCGGCCCCTGCCCACGCAGCACTACTGGGACGTCTATTTCGACAGGTTCGTTTCCTCTGCTCTCTCCCAGCTTTAGTGCTTAATTGTTAACATTGAACTTCGTCTAGACAAGCCAAAGACCCCAAAGCCGGCGCCGGCGAGGGCGAGTACACGGCCCAGCTCGAAAAGATTGGCACGCAGATCGAGTCGGTCCAGGACTTTTGGCGCTACAACAACAACACCCCCGTCGAGAACATCAAGATGCGCGAGTCAATATACCTCTTCAAGTCTGGCTTCCGGCCTATCTGGGAGGACCGCCGCAACATCAACGGCGGCAGCTGGACGTTTCGCGTGCCAAAGGCCATTGGGCCCGATTTCTGGACGCGGATTCAGCTGCTGGCCATTGGCGAGAAGCTCCAGAGCGTCATTGACGAGGGTGCGTCTATATTCACACATTCATGAAAGCAAAACGTAACAGAAGCCCAAACTAACTCGTTTGTTCACGCATAGCCGACCAAATCTGTGGCGTCGGCCTCTCTGTCCGCTTCAACTCCCACCTCATCACCGTCTGGCACCGCGACTCGTCCAAGCAAAACTCCGTCGACGCCCTCATCGCCTGCATCCTCGAGGACCTGCCCGCCGAGCTGCAGCCCAAGCCCGACAACTACTTTTACAAGAAGCACTCGGACCACGCGGGCTTCAAGGCCCCGCCCGAGCTGCAGGCCGTTCTGGATACGCAGAAGCGCAATGCCGCTGTGGCTGCGGCTGCGAATGCCGCCGCTGCTGCTGAGGGTTCTTCGCCTGCCGCTTCGGCTTCTGCTCCTGCGGTGACGATTGCGTCTCCTCAGTAGAGGAATTTTTTTTTTTCTCTTATTCTCTGAAAGTTGACGCTGCTTGTTTTTGCTACAATGAGCAAGCGGCGTGCGTGTATGTGTGTGTCCATTACTCTTCATTTTAATGCGATGTATTCTTCAACGTCACAAAGAGTCTTGTCTTGGCTTTTTTACAATTACAGACTCGATCATCTTGGGCATGAGAATGGCGTTTTTGCTTCATGTGTTTTTTTTTTATATTATATGTACAAAGGAAAAAATATGCGGCTACTGTTTTCTTCTTCTTCCCCTAGAGCTTTTCATATACGGGATAGCGTCGGGAGGCGTCATTTTTCCAGCAGCCGATTTTTCCATTTCGAACATTTCTAGCTACCTCGTTACTACTATTGGGCATATACATCACTCTATCTCTATATAGAAAGCGTTTGTCACATTTGTCGTTGGATTTTGCTCTGTTTGAATTGTAGATTATAGAGCACAGCTGTGTTATGAAATACAATATACATGTTCGCCTGTCTAGACTTGGTTATCAAGCGCGTCTATATCATTGTAGAATTAAGCATATTTCCACGGAGGAACTATAGTACTGTATTGTGATATATACTTTGGCCTTTCCTTCTTGTATAAAATATGGCAACTAAGGAATATATTTGGTCCTTTGCAGTGCCCAAATTGTTTGTCTTAGGAGTATTGAGCCAACACATATACTCAGCTTAAACGATCCGTATAGGTGAAAAGAAAAACGTCTAAGCCGCTCCCAGCGCCTCGCAAAAGCCAAGTAAAATAGAAAAAAAAAAATCCAAAGCTCGCTATCCGCCAAATCGTTAATGCCAAAAAATGCCCCATCGTCCTCTCTGTCATAAGTTTAAAAAAAAAAGTTATAGAACCGCCGTCACCGCCACACTCCAGCGTTCCTCATCACGCCATCAAACTCATCCAGCTCCACGCCCCTTGCAACGCCCACGCCGCCATTCGCCTCGAGTATCATGTCCTTGAGCAGCTCCTCGTCCACGTCCTCCTTGAGCACGGCGGCGACGCGGCGCAGGTGCGCCAGCGTGATGGGGCCGTCGTGGCCGTTTGTGAAGAGCTGGAAGGCCTCGATGAGCTCCTCGCGGTGGTGGGCGTCTGTGTCGTCCTCGCGCGCGTGGAACTTGAGGGCGCAGATGGCGAAGAAGGGCTCGTAGGTGGCGTAGCCGTCGTTGTCGGGGTCGAGGATGGAAATGAACTCGTGGAGCTCGGCGGGGGTGGACGGGGGGATTCCGAGGGCTCTGGAAGAGAAGATCGATGGTGAGTACTCTTGATCTTTTGGCGCAAGTGAAAGGTCTATATATATGCATATATATCCACATCTTCGGGGAGAATAGGGGCTGCTTTACATGAGCGCCGATTTGACATCGTTAATGGGCAAGACGCCGTTCTTCTCGCCGTCCATCGGCTCCGCAAACAGGCCAAAGGCTTCCTTAATCTCGCCTTCCTCTTGTGCAGAGACATTATGTTCCTTGGCGAGCCTCGACTGTCGCGGCTTGGGCGCGGTGGAGGGACCGCCGGTTTTGCGCTTCGGAGGCTGTTTTTCTGGTAAGCTTTTTTTTTTTTTTGGGCGAGACAAAAAGAGTGGTGGTGTGATTTTGGTTGAGTCGCAGAGGTGCTTACCATGTGGTTGTTTTATATTATCTAATTGAACTTTTGGCGCAGTAAAGCTCTTAGTTGATCTGCAAAAGATTCAAAGAATAGAGAGCGCTGCTATTGGGTGATTTGGGCTCGTTATTGTCGTGCAGATTGAGATGCACGTTGATGTCACTGGCGATGATAATGCACGGCGCGAGGCTAAGGAGGATAGAAGACGTGAATACAGTGTCGAGTGCGGGAACACTCGTCGTTCATACTGTAGAACCACTTTTCGCTGCTTTAAATGCTCGATGCTGAAAAAATTCTTAGACTATTGGACTTTCTCTCATCTCTCAATCCACAAGACACACAAAATTTGCTTGGGATGTCAAATTTGCGCAACATCTATGGCAATTAGATGCTTTCGAAAGGAGATCAATGCGATAGACCTCGTCAATCATGAGATATTGCAATTACTACGATCCAGCGAAACGATATCGAGCCAAGAGAATTCTCTTCCAATGGACAAAATCGCTCCAGCCAGGAAAATTTCTGCAAACGGCCATATCGCAACAAAGGTTTGTACGTGATGTCTTTCTGCACAAAGCCCAATCACAAGTGATGTCCTTGTCTCTTCCTCTAGAATAGTCGCTTCTAAAATTGCTAGAGCTTGCCGCCTCAGAATGCCCAACAGCGCGCAAGTGTGGACAGTGAAGCAAGAGTAAAAACCGCAATCAAGTCATCACTTCTAACTGACGCGATTGTTCCGTGTTAACGAGCGGCATCACGCGCATTGTGCGCTGCATGCCAAGTGAATCATGGAGACACTCCTAAATTACAATCAAGAGTTTTCTTTTTATATTTGTGTGAAAATAGAGAATTCCCTGCGTAAAGTCGAAAACATCCGTCTGCAAGACTTTATTACATCTTTGCCTCCAAAGGCCTAGAAAGCGCGCAGCTGTTAGTCGCCAACCCTTGTTCTATTTTCACACGTTTTCTGTTTTTTTCTTTGTTTCCGTCTCACTTGAAGTTGTTCTTCATTTCCCTCAGCTTTCCCATAATGGACACGGGGTCCGTCTCGCCGGTAGCCTTTTGAATCTCGGGTTCCTACAAGTCAAATGGTTTAGCTCATCCCTTCTTTCAAGAGATTTTGTCGAGACCATCACTAGACTTACGTTGACTCTCATGAAAACATTGTGCTTCTGTAATCCCATCATTAGTATGCTGCCCTCATATTTCCTCCTTTCGAAAAAAACACGTACCTTTTCATCGCCAATCGTAAACTTGCCCGTCGTAACTTCATTGTTCTCCGCAAATTCCTGGAGTTTCTTGATAGGCTCCGTCTGGGACACAGAAACGGTGAATCGGACGTTTGATTTTGTGTACTCGTGTCCGGGCTAGAATGAGTTTGCACGCTCATTAGCCTAATAATTCACCCATATCACCCCCCTCCCTCATACCAGAAGTTGGACAGATGGGGAGGTAATAAACGACTTACATAGACAACAGTGTCCTCTGGCAGTGCTCCAAGGCGGTTGTTCAGCGCCTCATGCATCTCCGCCGCGTTACCCTCAAAGAATTTACCGCATCCTGCCATCCAGTTGGCTTGTCAGTAAAACGCACACCTCTTGTAATGCAGCACCATGATAATGTGCTCAACGCTTTGAAATCATTCCGTACCGCTAACGAAAAGAGTATCACCGGTGAAGACTGCCTTGCCGGTAGAGTCCTCCATAAAATAGCAGATGCTGTCCTGCGTGTGGCAAGGGGTATGGACGGCCCTGACAGAGATGTCGCCGATCTGGAAAGTCTCTCCGTGCTGTGGCGTCTTGGTGACACCCTCGCAGTCCTTGCCACCAATGATGGTGAGTTTCTCATTGTTCAGATCAGCAAGCTTGAGGTATATCTAGGTCAGCTATTTCTTCGAGAAAGGGGAAAGGAAAACGTGAGAGACGCAGGATAGCATGTACCAGCTTCTTGTTGCCTCCGGCATGATCCCAGTGGCTACAAGTATTTATTTGCGTTAGACAACTGTATGATGCATACTTGCAATAGCGAGGGATGCATACTGATGAGTATTGACAATGGCCGTCAGGTTAATCTGGCCTGATGAAATGGCATCCTTTAGAATAGGAGCAACTCTAATCACACCCGTCAGTTTGCACCATCCTACCACTCGACTTGTTGGGGAAGCGACTCACTCTGGCGGGTTCGCAGGATCAATAATGACAGCATCCTTGGACTTGTCATCAACCACGAGATACGCATAGTTGTTGGAGCTCCCAACCCCTACCCAAGCCCATCAATTAGCTCTGAAGCCCTCGGCCATGTCCTCCTCTTCTGTCACCTCGGAATCATCTTCCTCACAAGCCCAAAAATTCATTCAAGCGTGCCCGCCGACGACAAACTTACACATGGGAATCGACTGGATATGCATCTTGCGTGAGTTGTTGATAAGCTGCGCAATAGGGTTAATCAGCAATGAGGGGCAAGCTCCAGATAGGACTTATATCATCGCCTATGACATGCACGATCGAATCTTTCACTCACGGAAACGCCAAATCTCTGGGTGAGAAGCTGTCTGCGAGGCAGTATCAATCTATTCATGAATGTGACAAAAGGTTCCGTTCACACCAATGGTCGGTGTTTTTTTATGCTTGAGGGGAAGAAGGTGCCAGAAGGTCCAAAGTTTGGTTGAAGAGGTTTGCTTACTGTTCTTTGGAGAGTGAGCCCGTAAATGCGGAGGATCCATTTGCTGTCGTTAATGGCAGCCACGTGATTGGCTGCATTACTTCGATCCGCGAACCTAAAGAGAGCTGACGATACGCTGATGACAGATTCGGAAGAGGTTCGGAAGCAGAAATTTGATATCTTGTTTTTTGCCTGTGCGTTCTTTCGCAGTTGATAATAAACAGCTTGGGGTATCTTTATTTCTACGTCTCTAATACAGCACTGTTACACCGTACAAATCACACTACACCGATTGGTTTCGGTCTCCAGGCGCCGCTATATTGAGACCATCCCGTGTTCGGCTCCGAGCCACGGTCCGGCTCCTGCTCTTCCTGCTGCTCTTGCTCCGGCATCCCGCCCACTTTCGGATCCGGCTGATTCGCCTCTTCAGCTGCCATGGCCGCCATGTCTTTGGACAGCTTCAAGCACTTGAGAAACACTTGATTCCCAGGCAGCGTCCGCTGCAGCTCTGCAATCGTCTTCTGCAAGTATTCGAGGTCCCACTGGCGCAGCTGCCTCATGGTTTTCTGCCTCGACGCCTCGTCGTCCTCTCGAAGATACGACAGCACAAGCTCTCTGCACGGATCCTTGGCCTTTTCTGCCTCGCCGAGGTGTTTCCAGTAATAGTCCCAGATCCAAACGAGAGCCTTCCTTGCGGCGGACCGCAGCTTGGCCAGCGACGGCAGCTGCTCATGCGTGGCTTGGTGCCTAAGCTCTACAAAGGTTGCCGGCAGGCCAATGTTCTTTGCGATAGAGTACATGCTCTGCTTGCGCAGCTTGTCTTGGTGCCCGTCCAACAAGCCAGTGACGAAGCTGACAGCATATCAATTAGCGTCTTTCTTCCTCGTGCTACAGATAGATATGTTTCTGCATAGCCATGTGAAAGGAGGAGGAGGAGCAAAAGGCGATAGCCATCACACCATCTCGATGCCATGCTGCCTTGGACGGAACCTCCTAAAACATCGATATCGATGACGTCCTTGGCCGCATATCATATCCATGCAGGCGATAGGCCCCCGTCTTCTTCTGTTCCTTGGATTTCCTCATCCAACACTTTTCCCTCTTGAGATTCCAGGCTGTACTGTATGCAGGCCGCTCATCCCCGATGCATGCCCATGCCCTGCCCATGCCGCAAAAGAAAGAAAAAGGCAAAGTGAAGAAGAAGATAAAAACAGGGACAGGCAGACCCGGCCCCAGCCAGAAACTTACCGACTAAACGCAGCTGCATATGCAGCCCTCACAGCATACGTCGATGCTCCTGCATTGCCCGCGGCCGCGGCCTCGTCGCTCAGGACCGCAGCCATGAGCAGTGCCGTCGACTCCACCATGTGCGGACAGTTGCCGCGCTGCATCCACATGGAGACGCGCCCCACGGCCTTGTGCTGCTCGTCCCGGTCTCCCTGCTCTCGTGATGAAGTCTGGCAGTCATTGGCCGCAGCAGTAGTGCGCCGCCCTGCATCCCCCTGATTCAAGCCCTCCCCCTCCCTCTGTTTCTCAGGATATGCATCTCTGTAAGCTGCCTCCTCGACCCGACGGCCGCTCGCTCTGCCGCCCTGGATACGACTCAACGACGCCGCACCGCCAGCAGCATCAGCCCGCGTCAACGCCTCGGAGCCGTAGAATTGGTCCCGCACAAGGAGCAATTCCTGGCGGTCTCGCCAAGGCGTAAACACATACTGCACCATCGAAAGGCCAGCAGGGGTTGGCCCCAGGCACCAACGACGCGGGTTCAGAAAAAGGAAAAAGGGAAAAAAAAGAAAGTTAGTGGAAAGAGAGAAACGAATGGTGTGACGGCGTAAGAAGTGAAAAAGGGCGTTTTCAGTTCACAAGCGTGCAAGACAAAAAAAGATGAAGCAAAAGCGGTGGCCTGTTTTGGTTTAGTGTCTGCGGTGGAGGCGATCGAATACATAAATTAAATTGCGTAGAAATAAAAGCTGCTAGGCACTTTGCCTAATTTAGCAGCAAAATCTACAACTGCCAAACCCAATAAGTTGAAAGGAAGAGCAATGCTGGACAGATCCGCAAAGAGCTGTTCGTCGTCAAAATAAGTTTGATCAATATCAGAAAATAAAATGAAAACAACTAAAACTGAGCTGTTGCTAGCACTACTCGACAGTCACCGAGCCCTCGCCGTCACCATTACTTAGTAGGAAATAAGCTGGAGGTTTAGGACCATTGCCATGTCGTGCCGATCGTGACTTTTACCAATTCTATATTGTACTGCATGCCATAGGCTCAGAGTCAACTTCACACCTCTCTCTCTTCAGTGTTTGTTTGTCACTTTGCAAGTAGCGTTTGCGTAGATACACATATTGAGACTCCCATGTCATGCCATCACCAACCTTTTCAGTCATCAGTACATCTAAATCAACTTGACAACGGTAGCACAATCATCCCACCAACTGGAACTGGGTCAAAAAAAGTAAACGACCCTGTTAACTCCGCATTATAGATAGGAAATGGATTCTTTTTCTTCATTGCCCCATGCATGGCAAATTTTTCTCTTTCTTTTCCCACTTGTTTTCCCCCTCCCTTGCGCCTGTAATTTTTTCTGGATAACAAATTAACGAGCTTCCTCTTTTCAATTAGGCCAAGATCCCGCAAACAATTAAGAGAGTAAAAAAATAAAAGAATAAAAAACCACAGCTAACTAATTAGCGAGGCCCACTCACGGCAGCCATTTCCAGCCGTCAAGAATGGGGCCTTTGTGGTTCGTTGTGCTTCATCCGAGTCCTACATTCAGCATGTACATGGCAAATAAAACGACTTGCCGTCATATTCTCTCTTCAGCAGGCCTCTTTCGGAAGGCTGCTTTAGTAATACACCTGCAAGACAAACGGTAAAAGCCGCCGATGGAGCCCCCTTCTGGAGGGCGTTGCTCAGTTACTAGGCTTACCGTACGTATGCTCGTGTGTCCTTGCAGCTGTTCATTACCAACGCCATGCTCACGCTATCCAGAATCTACTCCGTGCTACAGTATGTATGCTAGTACTGCGACGTAGAAACTTTTTTTCAAGCTCCATACACAGTACTAGGAACCCAGGATCCAAGGGGATCATCTCATCACTAACCCATCACTCTCGTTTCATTCTCAGTTCGCCTGGGGCTAATTGCAGCCGGTCATGCATATCCCACCCGGTCCTGGCGGTAATACAAGCACCAGGAAAGAGAGAAGAAACGGAGGGGCCAAAGTAACGTAATAGTCCCACAATGGAGCAGTGTGCCTTTGAGGATATGTATCCAACAGCTAGCATCGCCGGGACGTCTCCTGCACGTAACAAATCACGTACTCCATAGGGGGCAACTGCAAAGAGGCATTTTCCTTCCGGCATCCGGGGGCCGCCGAGGTTCTCCATGCTCCAGATAAAAAAAAAAACCAAATGCAGGGTCGTGCTGCGGGAGCCAGGAGAACGCAAAAAGCTGCAGTGAAAGTACGAAGTAGATACTTGCATAGTACTAGCAGTAGCATGATGGATGGAGCCTTTTTGGCGGGCAACTTGAGTACTTGTGCACGGCCACACCTACCATTACCGTAGCACTGCTCCAGTCTGCATCAACCGGCCGCAGTTGATATTCGTCACAAGCTAGCGGACTTGACACAGCTCGGAGGTCGAGGCACTAACAGGCAGATAATGGTTAGAGATGTGCGGTGCTGTGACGAAAAGCCAACAAAACCAACACCACGCCAGCTGTTGCCTACTAAGGCTAATCCAGCCTCAGTCGCGCAAGCTGCGCTCCATATACGTGTATAAGGCAAGTCGGGGGTTGCAAGTAGTAAATGCTAACGCGAGACGCCCCGTCCGTGTTAAACTCAGCTCTCAGCTCGCATCGTCACCAACGCCAGCAGTGCTCACTTACTCGTACAGTATGCGTGCCTCTAGTGCAACGACATACGCAAAACCCGGCAGCGTCGGGCTTGGACCCCGAGTAATACTGCCTCTGGAGCATCACGTCCATCAGATCAGGCAAAAGAATGGAAACGCCCCCCCTTGATCTCCAACTTTGACCCTTCGGCCGTCATACTGTACAATCCGATCATGGCGTTAACCCCCACTCGAGAAGAAGGACAAGAAAATAAGGCAAAAGGGCAAAAGAGTAAAAAGGACCGCCGGCTGCAGCCAGGGATGCGCCGGGTACAAAGGTCGGTACGACGAATCACAACTAAAAAGGGCAATGGACCAAAACAAAATGCCACAATTACCGGCATCCAAACGTCCAGGCCCAACCCAGGTAGGGAACCGCATAATCTAAAGAGGAGAGGGAAGACCGCCTACAGGCATCATCCATCACCTTGCTGTAATGCTTTACCGCCCAAGCCGCCCCTCTAAACAAAGAAAAAAAAAAGGTGAACCCACTTGCAGGCGAAGAAAAAAAAGAGGGCTAGCAAGTAGTCTTTCTCCGTAGCACTCGGCGAAACGGGGGGGCCACCTATTTCAATGATTTTTTGCACTCGTTCAGGTATGAGTATACTTGTACTTGTAGGTACTTTGCAGTAAGGGTCGCCTTCAAGATTTGATTGGAATCCATGGCCTGCAAGATTATACCCGTCTTTTTCTCCTCCCGTTTGCTCAGCACTGCTTGCCTTTCCTTGGCTCTGATGCCCGCCCAAAAGCGAGATGGCATTCAGGAGACTCGTTAAAACGCCCCTCATCCAGCTAGCAGTAGCAGGAGTAGGTAGCAGGAGGATTTATTAGCATCCACATGCTGTGTAAGGAATAGAGGAAAGGATGGATATCCAAGGGTTTCAGAGGAAAAAAAAAAAAAGGGTAACATTGGCAGTGACGCCGAGCTGTGGCTCAGACAGCCCCAACAAAAAATAAGACTTGAACGGTATGCCGCACAATGTTAGAGGAGCCGAGGGCAAAGACAAGAAGAAAAATTCACAATCATATCATATCCGCCATTGCCGTGCAGACTGCGCAGTCGGAGTGCAGGCAATTAACAGCTTTCTTGTCCACTTTTCCATCTCTTGGGCACGACAAGGCTTTGATGAGGGGCACACAGTATGTACGTACCACCACTTCCCCGTTCCAACTCGTCAGGCGTACCTTGTGTGTCATTGCAGGCGCAGAGAGGGCAACGCTCGTAAGTACGAGTACGTAATCCCAGTCTCCATTAAAAAGTAGGGAGGGAGAATCTCGAAAATGCGTCAAGCGCTGCCGCTAACACTCAGAAAGATTAAAGACAAGAAAAGAAAAAAAAGAAAAGAAAAGGGACTAAAAAAAGAGAGACTAAAAGAAAGAGAAGAGAAAAAAAGATGGGGAGTGCACATTAGCCCGGCTCGGATGAAAGGGGTGGGGTGGAGAACGAAAAGAAGTTGAGGAAAAGACAGAAGAGGGGTGGCTGCTAGAAAGGGACCGGACAGGATGTGGGGAGCAGAGAACAGAAAAGGCCCATGCCCTTGGAAAAGCGCAAGAGAGGAAAAGCAGGAGAAAACTGGAGAATTATGGCCAGTCAGCAGGCGCCCCTCCTGAGTACAGCCTTCCAGAATGCAGCCGACCCCACTCCGGCCCACTCGCCGACGCATGTGCGACAGGGGTCCGCTAGCGGCTGTGTTAGCGGCTCTGCTCGCCTGCTGCAGTTTTTTGGGTTTTTGGCGTGACGACGATGCCTGCTCTGTTGGTACATGTCACCGAACGCATGCTTGCACGCACAAAGGAGCATCAAGACTCAGCCCAGGAGTAGTACCTAGTGCTCAAGCGACTGGATCAGAGCAAGTGGCGTCGTCTGCTGCCCTGCACGGACAAGGACGTTGCTTGGTTACAAGGTATCTAGTAGAACCGTAGCGTAGCTCCCCATCCCCCTCCCGCATTGTCACCACGACTTCCGAGTGATCAGTCTTCTTTACATGTCATGCACACTCATTGCAAACGGAGACATCTCCTTTGTAGGATCAATGCTTGTTATGCTAAAATCTGCGTGGCGTGAGCCAGAGGAGCTGCTAAGCTCCTTCGTACTAATCAGGCACTTGTGTGCCCTCTTCTAATGTACTTGTGTTTGTTCTCCAATATCCCATTGCCTGTCTTAGGGGTGGTTTTCCCTTGATACCAAAAATTCATCGCTGTCCCAGGATCCATCCAATAGTACACATGCTTGGTTTGCTCATCTAGAGCTTCCGCTAGAAATACAAGAGGTGAAAGTCGAAGGAATCCGAATCTGTGTGATTCCCCAATATATCCCTTCTGTGATTTAGCACCCGCTAATTAAAAAAAAAGGAAAACAAAACCATCGCTCGTTCAAAACCTGTATCAAGCCGTGGGCTGTCCATCATTGGTCGTAAATCTCGTATCGTAGTATGCTTAGCCGCATATGCATTTAATTATCAACATCTTCTTCCTCTTCCTCCTCCTCCTCCTCATCATCATCTTCTTCATCATCAGACTTTGGAGGTTCCCAAGTCTCTTCCAGCTTCAAGCCCTTGCCGGTGGGCTCTTGGGGCTTGAAGGAAGACCCAAGAAGAGATGATACCGTGGAGCGATAGTTGTTTAGGTGTGGATCATCTTCGTATTTGCCAGGTGTATCATAGAGTCCCATTCCAATAAGGATTTCTCCCTCTTCTTCAGAATCATCCAAGGCTTGAATAGCTGCCTCGGGGGCATCCGCTTGGGGTTGTTGTGTGGGAGGGAGGAAAGAATCAGGTGTAGGCGGAGAGGTCTCGCTAAAGCCTTGGTAGATATAGCTGTTCCAGTTCAAGGCATTGTTAGGGGACCTCTCATTGATAGCACCGTTCAAAAACTGATTATCAGCCAGGGTGGGATAGTAGGGAGCCGACTGGTTCGCCGTCTGCCACTCATCAGCCGAGGCAGTGGTCATTGCCTCCGTAGACTGGTAGGACAGCGGCAGCGGAGAAAAGTTTGATGATGGCGAGGTGCTGTTTGAGTAAGATGCCATTGGAGGAGAAGGCTGGAAGGCGGTTTGGTACCCATGATGCATGGCAGGGTATTCATAAAAAGTTTGCTGTGGAAGATATTCAACCTGGGGCGTTTGCAGTTGAGTTGATGGATGCCAGCTAGCAGGTCGTGATTGCCTTCTCGGCGGAAACGATTCGGTGTTTTGTGTTGATGAAATGTATTCCAAGACTTGCTGCTGTCTTCTCGCCGCCTGAGAATCGTTGATAATGGTGCGCCTTCTTGACTTGGCAGCGGACGATCGTGGGCTAGTGCTGGTGCTTGAAGGCTTGACAACTCGGAGAGACGAGCCCGCAGATGTTCGGGATAGCCTCTGGGTTACTTGTGATAGAGCCATTTGCGTGTTGTGTGTGTTGTCATAGAATCTGTCGTATTGATATGGGTGGAAAGGCTCAGCAGCCAACGCTGCCCCGTAGGATGGGTGCAACATGTTGACGAGGTAGTCTTGCTGGTTGGTGTGTGTTGAAGACGACTGAAAGTATAGCTGGCCGAATGTCAAAAGATGATTTTCGAGTGAGATGTGGTGAGAGTAATGAGAAGGATATTAAAGCAGGTAAATCGTCGAGTGTTGAAGAGCTAGCTATGATGTATAAGAGGTCAGAGATGATATACTGCAGGCACTCCGGGTGAGAAGGAAACTATTAATACAAACACAAACACTAATAGCCAACTCCGTATTAAGATGGGGTGGTTCCCAAGGGGGTGAGGGGTGTGAACATCTGAGACCAGAGTGGCACTAACAAGCGACCCAGCTCTGGTAAGGATGGCTTGAAGGATAAATCACGGCCAAGGGAATGGCAATGCATGGGTCTGGCACACTGCTACTGTCCGAACCAGATCCAACCGACTATGGATCTAGAAGTGGACCAACGAGACAGCGGTTCAGAGGGCAAATGGCCACTACCATGGCCACTACCAAGTGGACTAGTGATGTTCTTCAGGCTCGCACTACTTGTAGTACCACCAGCACTAGCGTTGCTTCTCCGTAGAGTAGCAGTAGGCGACATGGGACGTTTCTTTTTAGTAGTATGACGACGACGGCACGGGCAAACGTGCGGGCTGCATGGAGATTAAACCAAGACCTGCTAGTGGACATCCCGATCCCGGATTGTCTTTCCATGTACATGCGTGCATGCTTGATACCTAGCACTCAGGTAGTACCGCACAGACTTTTTAACGTCTTTTAAGACATTATCGGCCGGGATAGGAAGACAGCTTGCGAGCCGATATGCTTTACAGACTTGTACCAGCAGTAAGACAAACATGCGCTCTTCGTTCCTTGGCTGGTACGTCATACGGGGCGAGCCAAGGGTGGTGTAAGGGTGTCTCATCGGACGGATCCTCAACCTCTAGCCGGCAAAGCAGAAAAGAGGAACAGGAAAAGGCAATGGGGGGTTCATCATTAGCCATGGATAGTCATCGTTCTGGAGCAGCGGCCGTGCCGGACGCAATAACGCGAAAGCGCCTAGAGAAGAGAAAGATGGAGCATCTGCGCTTGCAAAAATCGTGAGAGACTCGGCCATCTGGCGAGAGAAGACTTGTACTTTGAAGATACGGGTACTTCCAAACTAGCGCATTTGCTTGTGAGCGACGGAGTATCCACCAGATTCAGGATACCTCGGTCTCGCGCGGCGGTACTCTGCGGTCACATACCGGTAAACCAGCCTCATCAAGGGATGGGTGCTGGCTTTGGCGAGATTGAGCAGTCCAAAGACTCAGTCCCTCGACAATCATCAAATCTACTGGCATCAGTGTCAGCAAGCGTCCAATGCTGATACAGTACGTGGCACAACAACAACAAATGCACGGATACTCGGACAGGTGTTACCAAAGGAGTCAGGTGTAGATGGCTTTGGACTAAAACACCCAGTGATGTGTAAAGTCGTAGCACATGCCTGTACCGCATAGAAGCCAGCAGCATCCCCAGCAGGGCTGATACTTGCAGATGATGGCGAGATGGGTGCCAATTCAGCACAGTATACAAGTCTTACCCAGTGCACCTACAAGTACTAGGTATATTGCTGTTCCTCCGTACGAGCACAATGACTAGGATCGCAAGGCGCCAACGAAAACGGCTTGAGGCAGGGATAGTCCGACGCTTGGGTCAAAACAGCCACCATTTGGGCTCTGTGCTCGCGCCGCCGTGCTGGATGCCAGGGCAGGCCGCAGAGGCTCACGAGGAGGATGCCAATCAGCTGTATGGCCCCTGCCGCCCCACGTTGAGAGCGTAAAGGTCGCAGCAGACAAGTGAGGAAAAAACAAGAGCCCCGTGGGGCCACTTTCGGTCGCTTCGTGGAAGGGATGGCGAAGGATTCAACTCGAACCCAAGGGGGTCCAAGTAATAACGGCCTGTCAGCGCAGCCAACCAGAGCCGGCCATAGGGAGACCGGAGCGTCCGTTGCAGCTCAACTGGAGCGAAAGATTTCTGTTGCCGGGGCGTGCAAAGGGCCGGTGCACGCCTTGTCCCCTAGTTCGCGGGTCCTTCACAAAGCCGTCCCTTGGTCTTGGAATGCCCTTACTCCCCACTCACGACGTGGCGTTTGGTGGTGTTCCAAAATAGTGCGGAAGAGGCTGTCCACAAATCTCACCCACGCAGACGGAGTAGCTAGATGCACATCACGGTCCAGACAAAGTGATTGACATCCCCACATCTCGAGAACCCTTGCCTGGGCTGATGCAAACACCCCGGGGCCTCGCCCGAATTTGCATCAGCAGCACGGAATGCTGCGCCAGCCGAAAGACAGCGAGGCGTCCACCTATCCAGAAACACGAACCGCGGGTTGGAGACAAGACAGATCTCATCACTAGTTCATCGGTCGTTAACGACTGGCCAGCGTCTATGCCGGCCACATCATATTAGCGGTCCCTTCCGTCCAGCCGCTTACCATCTGTGCACCCATGGATGGGATGCTGCTAGCGTACAAAAGCATGTATTCGTAATAAACCTCGCGGTGCTTTTTCCAAATCTGCCGTTTGAGCAATCCGTACTTGTAGATGGAGATGTACGATGTACATGACGCCAGCCCACAACAATTGCGTGGCTGCAGCAGCCAAGCGCAATCCTTGCTGGAGGCGACGGCCTTGTCATGCCTGCTGCTGTTGTTGTTGCCGTTGCCGTTGTTTCTATTGCCACAGTACGGCGTTGCCTGGCGGCTAACGCATGCGGAATATATGTGTATGCCTGATTTTCGTAGTGTGCACGTATGTATGTACCATGCAGGCTGATGCATTCTGTAGCTAATCCTTTCGATAAGTGGGTGACTGGTGGAAGAAACAGATCGGCCGCGAATATTGAAATCAGATCACCATAAAACCGGGCAGGCCAAAGGAAGAAACTCCCAGCACTAAGAATGTACAGTAAGGAGAGACGCAGCCGCAATCCACCGTCACTCTGATGCTCCGCGGTCGCCCTTGGCGTGGCAGGGCCGTCGGGGGCGATAGAAAGCACCAGCAGGCAAGAACGAGGCGGCTTCAGGCCCCCGCTAACTCGCGTTCGCGTATCAACGGCCGTCCAAGTGCGCAAAATCTCGGGATGGGGGGGACGCAAAGGTAAAAGCTGCGGCTGCAGCAAAGCGCCATCCCTGGTTGACTGCGCGGCGCCAAAATCGCCACCGAACCTTTTGGGCAGGGGACTCCGTGCTCGTAGCTCCGGGTACCGTCCAGGTTCTTTGACTAGAGAAACTAGGAATCCCTCACCGATAATACCAATAGCTACTTCTCGCTACCTACGCAGCAGCTTCCGGGCTTTTTCTGGCCAGCTGATACAAGGCTGTGGGCGCCTGTGAGCGAGCGCTAGATTACTCGTGCTTGTTCGGGCTAGGGAGCATTGATTGCGCTGGTAGCGGCTCGGGCTTTCGCCCACGGAGAAGCTGCTGCTTGCCCACAATTACCAGGTTCAGCCGCTACTCATCCAAGCGTTGAGTCTCATCCTGCATTGCCCGCTTTACAAGACGATACTCGCTAGCAAAAGCGCCGCTCAATATCCACTGTGTGCAAGACACTACCAACACTATTGCTTCTAGTCCTCCTAGCTACTAGGGATTTCACATTTTACAGTAATTGCGAGCTTCCAGTCGATACGTCACCCTTGACTCCGAGGCCTCCTGGGTCTCACCCATATTTCGCGACTCGCATGGTAGGTATCAAGGTAGGAATAAAATAAACGCCTGTGCTCGTTTATATTCAATATTCGCACAACGCCGTCTGCTTTGCTGCAGGCCTGTAGTTTGGTAGGGACCCGAATGTACAAAACTCATGCCTTTGTGCAAAACCCTCTGCCCTCCGGTTTGGTAAGTTCCTAGATACCTAGTAGGTAGTATCACCGCATTGCGTGGCATGGAGCTTGTCCTCTGAGTGTTCGGCACCAAGGCGGAGAGTCAGAGCGCCACTGACTATTGCTAGGTACTACCGGCACTCGTACCAGTATGGCAACATGAACATTAATCAAATGAACGATCCAGATGGCTCATAGGGGCCGCTCCACCCTGAACTGCCCAGTGCGAGCATGTTGGTCCGCCATGCCAGCTTGCCAAGTTGCAAGAACACTATCCCTGGAGCTTCGGCGTTGCTGATGCGAGGGATGGGTGGAGGGGAATTGGGGAGACAGTCAAATCAATGCCACAAGCGTAGCACAGGCACCAAGGCCTTGCTCCTCCTAGTACGGAGGACCTGACACGCTCTCTGCATCCGCTAGCACCGCAAGCACTGCAGGCAGGTCGCCCAGACTGGCAGGCGGAGCGACTGGCCACCTTGAACCATCTTCAGGTGACTCCAGCAGGGGATGGCGCTCTATGCTCGGCGCAGCAATGCCACTCTTCATACGACTAGCAGTAGCAATGTGCTCGTACCCGTACTGTAGCTCCTCCAGCTCCGTTCATACTGTATATGAGTGACCGTCGCTCGCCTGATGCAGCTGTCTGGGCGCTACAGGCCCGCCACGCACTCCACCATGGCTGCTCCGTGGTCGTGCTTTGCCTTGCATTGCAGGTCTTCTCGTCCTTGGAACTCATGTACATGCCATATGCAGTACTGTACGGCAGTGAAGCAGCTCCCACGTTGTATGGAGCACCTACCGTACTGCATGCTTGGAGCAGCGTGGCCTTGTCCCCTAGCTTACCAAGGACGGGTACTGTGGGAGCGATGAAATGCTTCTATACTTGTATCAGTCTGGCTGCTTCTCGTTGGTTGTAGGAACATGTCTTTTGGGCTACAGTCCTACGTCGTGGCCAATAGCACAGACTCATACTTGGCTTCCCTTTGCGGTGGAACTTGCTGTGCGTACCAGTCCCATCCGGCATACAAGTTACAAGCAGCATCGTCCAAGCCCGCTGCTGTACGGATGGTCATGCTCCATAAGCAGAGCGATGGTGAAACTTGGTTGGATCAAGTAGGGAGTCATCCATACTTGGTACAGGCGGTCAACATCTCCAAATAGCAGGGGCAAAGACAGCAATGACCATACGAGCACTCCGCATTTGCAGTCAATACTCGAGGTTGATACCATGCAAGCAGTGCTACTAGCACGGGAATACCCATTGGGGACACAATACCGCCGCATGCACACGAGAAACGACCGCAATTAGTGCAGTATCTGCAAGTACAGATAACTGATACTGGCAGGCAGTGGCAGCATTGACGCCGGCCGGTGGAGTGTCTACCACTTCAAGCACTTCTCCTCAGGCACACGATCCATCCTGCTCCCCCGAGCGTCTAATCACCGGCCGTCACCAAATTACTCGGCTTCCAATCATAGGACCTTGCCCGTGCCCTGCACATGCACGCTCAGAGAAGGGGGGAAACTTCTTTGTGCCACTAAGTACCACGCTGCTAACACCAGTCAATGGCCGAATGGCTCTCAGCACGGCTTCTACCGTAAAATTGAACCGACTGTAGGGAGCCAGCTCCACTGTGCGTTGGCGCCTGTAGCTGAATGATGATGGACGTGGTGGCTCACTGCGGTCAACTCATGCCACAGCATGAGTACAAAGAGCAGGGCGCTAGGCAATGCCTGCAGCGTCTTGGAGCCTATCGCTCGTCTGCCCTTCTGCGCGCCCATCAGGTCCAATCCTTCGCCAATGCGCCACCAGCTCCAGGTCCTGCAAGAGCCCTTCATCAACAGAGGGCCCGGCCAGCATGTGATGAGTCCGCAATGGGAACTTGGATGGAAGCAATAGCGCTCAGGCAGCCCCGTTCCCTTCTGCAGAGCCCACGGCAATCCGGCTTGCCAGGACGGGCGCTGCGTGTCATGTGATCGCCTGTCGCGCAGGCCAGGGAAACACCAGAGTCGCATCTGCCCTGGGCCTGGCGCTCCATCGTCAATCTTCGGTAGCCTTGCCAGGGTGTCGCTCCCAGCTACGGACTCCCAAACCTTAGAACCGAACCCCTCGCCGCGATTGTCCCACTCAGGCCTCCGGTGACTTGCAAGACTTCGGGCGGCTCTGGGTCCACTGGCGCCGTGACCTGGCGGGCCGTGTCCTTGTCGCACAGGTGGGGTTGCAAAGGGCTGGCGTCGACGGCATGATGCCCCTTTTCCTTTTCCCTTTGCTTTTCGTCGCGCCGCAGGAAATACGATGATCGGCATCAACTCGTTCACACCCCACCCTTGGCCAGCCGAGACTGAGCCACCCTCCAGATGGGCTGTTGGCTGGCCGCCTGGCCGCCGCATAACCTTTGACCCGTGGTCCGGTGGCGCACAACAGCAGAGAGGATTTTAGTCAGTCGTCTTTTGTGAGTGCCGTCTCGGCGGCGCGGTTGCACTGTACAGTCTCATCCCTCCCTGACTAAACAGAGCACCTGTTGCTAACCCATCCCTAGACACCAGGGCTTTGTACCGCCGCGCGCCCACTTGGGCAGGGTTCGCCGGCCATGGTGATTATGATCCCTGGGCCAATGCTGGCCTCGGCTGCTCCAATAGCCTAGTGCTTGGCATGTTCTTTAACTTGTCCTTGCAGGCCTGCTCTGGCTGCTTTCCATCCATCACAGCCCAATGCGGGCGTCAATGTCCCACGCAGCCATGTTTCAACCATGACAACTTTATTGCTCAGATCTCCACATTGGAACCAAAACATGCCAGACCACATTCGTTATGCCCGTCCAACCTAAGAGCATACAAGTAGCAGTATGTGTACCACAATCACTGGTGAGCCGCTGAAAGACAAGGGCATGGCTGCCTGTAGGCCACTTTTTGCGAAAATTAAACACTCTCTGGTCGCTCGGTGTTCTACACGGCGCAATTCTTTGACCTGATGTGGAATGATAGGGATGAGAAGCATGCTCTATCCCTGGCTTCATGGGATTACCCAGTACGGACTGCATGCCTCTTTTTCTTGATGCCGTCTACAGTACTCAAGGGCATCCGCTATGTATCTTCTCCAACAGAGAGATGCATGCCCACCGCTAATAACGCTTACTCGTACACCGGCAGAACGCACCGCAGTACCTTGTAGCAGCAGCAGTATCACTGTCATTACTGCTACTACTACTAGCGGAAAGCCGCTTACAAGTGCTTGAGCTTGTACTTTACGTACAACGACTGTGACGGCTGCGGTGGCGCATATCACTCTGCAGGCCAACCCGAATCCCGTCTTCTATCCCCCCTGCTTCGAAGGCGCTCGCTGACATACTGCATGTGCGTACGGCTTTAGTCCATACAGCCAACTCCACTGACTCGAGCAGTGGTGCGCCTGGTGAATACCCTACAGCCTCCGTATAGGATGGGATTTTGGCTGCACGTGAGGCGCGGTAGAATGATTCAACGAATCTTCATGAGCAGAGAGTGTAGAAGAATATAGCAATGCTGAGTATGTATTTCTGGGCAGCTGTTTGATCGTATTCAACAGATGTTCTAATCCATAAGTGCTAATTACCGCCTTCTGCTAGGTACATACATACAGGTGGCGGGCAGCACGTTATCAGATTTCACAGCTACACTACCTATGCATAGTAGCCATGGCGCTGGGAGCTCTTTGCATGGCTGCCGTGACGCGGCAAACGGTTGGCTCACAGCTATCAAATGTAAGACGCCACCTTTGACCGTCAGTCAAGCCCAGAGCACAAGTTGGCATGGTCTCCGAATCATCGCACTTCCCCACAGCAATAGCATACAGTACCTACCTAACAAACATACTGTAGGTACCGCATGCACAGCGCAGGACGCATGATTGCTTGAAAAGAAGCTGGAGGCCAAGGTTCAGCAGCCAGCCCAGGCGTCAGCGTGGAGATGCCGAGCTGGTGCCTACCGAAGACAGACGCGGCTGGTGTAACGAAACCGAGCATACCTAGTTGTATGTGTGTACTTGTAAGGAGTACGGAGTGCTTTCCACCATATTACTACAAGCAGTAATAGTGGTGCTACTCCGGAGATTTCACACTGATTACAGGTATGGTATTGATGTCTTCCCGGTCTTACAGGCATAACCTGGATCCTGGCTGAGTGTGAACGCCACGCTTTCGCAACGGCTCTCCGCCTGAGTACCTTGCAAATAGCCCCCGGATCAAGAGTCAGAGACGGATTAGTGCAAGTGCATACCTCGCCCGATACGAAACATTTTTGCGGCGCCAACTTACTTCCCCAGGCCGCCAATCTTTTCTTACCACGACGATTCTGTCGCATATGATAGAGGGTAACGCTATCCATTGGCCCATGCTGTGGAAACGCAATAAATCCTTCCGCGTCGAGTGGCATTTGCTATCTCGCTTTGAGACAAACTTGATGCTTCCCAGCTGACGGAGCTGGCAACGCAGGGATGCTAGGCGAAAAGGTCCGGCTTTGAGAAGTTATCAGTTAGTGCCGCGCAACCTGCTTTGTATGGAGCATCGATGATTTAGCGAACGGTCACATTGCTAGCGAGTGACCCAACGCCCAAACAGCAGCAATAGTCATGGCAGTACAAAGTATGGATAGGTTGCCAGAGATAACTAGCATTGCTCCGTGCGAAGCAGACCTTTTGGTTGTCATCCCAGTCACTCAGCTACCGCCTTGGCGCCGGGTGCTTTCCGACATCCCACCCGCTCTCTTTGACCTGCGGCGATCGACGTGTATGCGATGCATGGGTATTTACTACTACAAGTAGGTACTTGCAGTATCTATTGCATCACTTTACTCTGAGCTTCGGACCTTCGTCTACGGAGAAACCCCTCAATAATCACTGTATGGGTGTAGTGGTTGAACGTTACGGTCTCAATCACTACAATTTTGCTTGCCTCTTACGGAGGGGTTGAGAACATGTCTCAATCTGAAAACATAACTCGTGGCTGAGACAGTACGGGCAGGATAATTCCAAAAAGAGGAGAGAGAGGGGGAAGAAGAAAAGCCTAGCTGCCGCAACACATTTCATTTCTCTGGAATAAGCTCGCATCGAGGGGCCTGCCAACAACAGCGACGGCAGTGCTAGCAGCGTTCAAGTGCAAGTATGGAGAATGAGACTATTTAGCTCTCATCCATCGTACGAGGGCCTTTCCCTGGCTCTCTGCGGCAGAGCACTTACTGTAACGCTGTCTGGAATGTTAGATTAAGAGCTCAGTCTAGGAACTGGTACCTGTATGTTACCGTGTGGCCCCCATCAACAAATCTTAGACACACACCCTTCAGCCTCTACTGCCTGCCACCCCTTTTAAGATCTCCCTGTGGTCCTGATTTGTCCGCTTCACTTGACGCCCGCAATAGCCACTGATCGTTTTCTCTAGGACAGCACCGCTTGTTGGACTTTACGATGGCTCTGTGCGCGGCGCTTCGTACTCTATCTCGGACAGTATCACATCCTTGCGCGGCTTTGCAATGGATGCCTGCTTTTATAGGCAGCAGAGTCCAAGCCGGTATCGACAGGGCATTGTCAATGTACTCGTACAAGTATTGTGCAGTCTACTGCCCTCCCCTTCTTTGCGGGAGTGATCTGGATTGGCTTACTTGGCTCTGGCTAGGCGCCTCGTCTGTTTCCCCAGTGGGTGTGGTATTAAGATTTAGGGCAGCCACAGGCTGATGTTCCCGATATAGCTTCTCGATCCTTTGCGTCTCATCCATTCGCTACCCTTTCTTCGATGCTTGCCCCCCCTCCAACTAAATAGCTTCCACGCCGATCTCGAGCACCTGGTGACGGATTTCGAGCGCTCGGCTTTCCGGTCCTTTGAACCATGGCCGCACCCTTTTCTTGCATCCACAGTCGGAAATTCCTCATTCGAGCAACGCCACCATCGTGTGCGACGGAGAGCTAGCAGCCTACTTGTGTGTGACTATTGCCAGTGGTGGCGTCATATTTTATCTACATATAGGAGATTATGTGCTTTCTGCGTGCGAGGCTGTGGGCAAAATCTAGGCACTGCAACTGCAGGACTGCCCCATGCATACATGGCACGCACATGAGAGGCCTGTGGCAGCCAGGCTCCAAGGGCGCACAGCAGTGGAGAGGAGGGGGAAGGGGCACGAAAACCACCAGCAGCTTGTTTGTATGCATGCGACCTGGAATGATATGCACGGCCTAACGATGTGAGAGACGGGGGGGCAGATTTTGCCTCATCAGCGATTGCAAGCTGCCCGACGCCAGCCCCACCAAGGCCATCAAGCCGAGACGCAGCTCCAGCTTTTGATTGTTTGCCCACAGTCAGTCGCTAGGCTGTACAAGGACCCCTCGCTGGCACTGTCACTTTTGCCCTTTTTCTTGTTTGGCGTCGGGTATTGCATGGAGATGGCACCTGCAAAGCCTCGCGTAGCCAATGGTGTACATGTAGGTGCTCTCCGTACATGGTGGCTTTTTTTTCTTCTTTTCTTTCCTGTCTCTTGTCATTTGACTCCGTCCACGCTCTCCACTACACAGGCTCTTTCGTATACTGGTACACACCAGACCGTTTCACCGCCACTTATTACCCCTTCCCTTGAGCATCACAACAGACACAAACGCTCCGGCCTTGATAGGGTTACCTGGCCACACACGGGTTTCCTGGCTGTCCTTGTCTAAGAAGCCGCCTTGTCGATTATTGCCCAGAACGGAATGTCCTCCTCTATGATGGTACAGTAAGAGGCATGCCAATTATTTGTTGGTGATGTTGTGCTCAGATGATCCCTGCGTGGATGAATTAATATCACCTAGCCTTGGATGAGTGCAATGGCCAGCTTTTCTGACTGTTTGTTCTCGTCCCCGCTCACCAACTCTGGTGGCTGCTGCGAGTAGTATTGGCGCGACGCTATCTCAGGGCTGCGCATGTTTAGATAGAGCAGCAGTGTCGCTTCCCTGGCCGTCAAGAGACCACTCAGACCCGCCCTCTACTATGTGTAGTACTTCATACTACGAGGTACTCTACTACGAGGTACTGTTCTACTAGCAGCAGTAGGAATAGCGGTACTTATTTCTCAGTACAGGGAGGACACACAGGTGAGGGCCTGCTACGGTGAATGCTAAAATCGATGGGATCGATCAGGACGCATTGTCTACTAGCCAGTCGTGGACATCTGCGCCGAGCCCCTGAAACCCCTCCCTTTGGACCTTCGTCGTGGCCAGGTGTACGGCGAAGCTCAGCCCGTAGCTGACATGCCAGGTCTTGTTTCGACAGACCAGGCTGTAGAGCATTCCCGCTATGAAAGTATCACCCGCTCCTACCGAGCTAGACGAAGACGTGTCAGCTGCTGCGGTGCCTCAATGCTGCTCTGTGCTGCTAGCAGTGGTGGTACTCCTCGCAAAAGACTAGCAAGGTTGAGTTGCGATAATCATGCGCAGCCAAATGGGGAGGACGGCACGGAAGAAAAAGAAGCGAGAGAAAAGGGAAAAGGGTAATAAAAACGACCCTCGCCGGGTGTAACCTACTCGACGACAGTATCAGACTTTGCGCGGCTTTCCACGGGACAGTGGACGACCTGTTGTTTGGGGAGCTGGCACATGGCGGCTCCGTCTGCACCCCAAGTACAGAAGGCAAGGGACCTATTGCGAGTCGCATAAGTCAAACGATCATCTCCTATCAGCGGCAAAAGACGAGGAAGAAGAAGAAGGCGAAATGGACATTAGGCAAAAGAGGTTGCAGCCCCCGGTACATGTACCTGTAGGCGGGCCTTTTGTTGGAAGGGTATGCTTACGCTTTCTGCTGCTTCTCGCTCATGAGGCAAGATTCGGCAGACCCATGACCAACGTTCTATGCAGATTAATCTGTCAGCCTTTTCTTTCTTTCTTATGCCTTGTCCTCACAGTTCAGAATTTCTCTTCTCCTGAATTTCCGTCCTGGAGCCCCTTTAGTAGCTAAGAGCCCGGGGGGGAAGGAAACCACCAAGAAGAACTTTACCCGGCTTCCTCTGTGGCGCAGTGTCACATACTTCTGCCCAGGATTTGGAATAGAAGACGACATTGGCCTCAGCTGCGAGCTCGCGAAGGCCGTCCCTCCCTGGCTTCTCGACTTCCACACTGACTTGCGCGTTTGGGAGCTTGTCACGCAGCGTGCGGACGCACTTTAACGTAGTATGCGGAATGCGGCCCTGAGCTGGAACTGTCAGACAAGGATTTGCTGCCAAGAGGGTGTCGCAGGATCCAAATGTAGTGGCGCTTCTCTTGCTTGAACCATATAGATGGCTGCTGCTGCCACGGTCATTCGCGGTCGCCACTCGACCAACAAGCAGCAGCAACAGCAGCAGCAGGGAGAGAAAAGAAGGAAATATTCATAAATGCACTCACCTCAAAGTGCCACCAGGTCTCGTCGTCAGGGCTGAAGCTCTGCACGATGGCCTCGAACTCGCCGACTGTCATTTCTGGTAGGTCATTGTAGTTGACGAGCGTACGGCTTCCCGTCTGCTCGCTACGGATGATGTAACTGCTGGCCGCTTCCGTGTACGTCTCTCGGTAAAGGCTGTGCTCGAGACTTACGGGTGACGACTCACCAAATGAAGCCTTGATGCGCTGTACGGCCGACGATGATTTGCTCGGCAGAGGCGAGACCAGATACATGCGAATGGCATCTTGAGGCTGGAGGAGCTGCTGGAGCACCTCGAGCGAGTTGGGGCAGTTGCCTCCCCGGCGAATGGCGAGGGTCGATGCTCGTAGCTTTTCGTCTTCTTCTGGGTAGTGCGGTACGCTGTTGAAGAGTTAGTGAGAGTCGTGACGATTCATCGTCCATGGCCTCGATGTTGGTTTGTGTAGACGATAGGAAGTCGGGTCTTGCCTCAGAATAGTATCTAGATAGCAGGCTCCGATGAGGATGAGATGCTTCATTGTGCCGGCGAAATAAAGAGCTATTATCTTTTGTTCTTTGCTCTATCTCTATTCGTCTTGTTCCGTACGTCTGGTGGGTGAGCTGACGATGATGTCAAGATCTAGTATATGGGCGGATCCTGAGTGTGTTACTGAGGCTCTTGGTTAATGATCCACTTACTGTACCAATGCAGAGTCAGAGTCAGTACCACTGATACATCTGTATCGATCTTAGCTCTAGATGCTTGCATACTCGTTTCTACTCCTTCCTTTTCCCGGAAACCGTTGCTCTATAACTGCGTGTTATGAGATCGGGTCATGTGCGAATGAGCTTTGAGAAACTCTGATGTGGCTGCTTGCGAGATCCGAGTTCCGCCACTGATAATCATCTTACTTTTTACCATCTCCTCTAGCCTCGGCCAGCTACCCGGGAGAGATTGCAAACTGTTCTTTAAAGTCCACGCTTTATAATATATATCAAGCATCATATCTCTGCTAGCGACCGTGCACTATAGCTAGCTTGTGACGATGCATAATGATGGGATGCAGCAGTGCTATTTGGGGTAAAAATCATGCAAATGCAGCATCTTGACGTGTACATACAACGATTTTGACGGGAACTCTAAGCTCCACATTTCGGCTTAGCAGGTTTGAGCTGAGAGCACTTGCTTCCGTCGATCCTCGGAGCTCGTCCAGTATTTTCTTACAAATGCAATACTTATTCTCTCTCTTTGCTCTCTATATGATTGACAAATGAGAACGCATCGCCATCGCCATCATCTAATCCGAGCGCACGATATCGACTGTTGCTTGTAGCACGACACACGGACAGTGGTGCTGTGACCCCGCGATAACCGACTTCAGCCATTACATCATGGGTCGCGAGCACGACGAGGATGGGGCCAAGACAAAGCCCAAGCACATAACATTTGACCAGACGAGCCTCGATGGGAGCGACGAGGATGATGGAGCTGTCGAGGTGAGTGTGATGCCTTTTGCTGGACGAAACACTGTCCAATGCGTAGAGCTATGCCTTTGTCGCTGACTATCTCGAACGCCACAGGTCACCTTCGACGACGGAAGTCCATACCGGAGGAAGAGCTCAATGGTTGCGTCGGAAGCTCCTGCACCTGCGACGAAGCGCATGCAGCCGGGTCGACGAGCCGAGTGCGTGGTTCATCAGTTGATAGAAGAACAGCGAAAGTCCAAGGAACGATCTGCTGGCAATTCCCCCAGCCGCAACCAGTATCATGCGCATCCGATATACTCGCAATCACATAGACACGATGACCCTGTCGACATCAGCAGTGAAAAGAACCTGGACAAAATCGTCGATTTGAAGTGCCCTGTCGACAAGCAAAAGTGCCGTGCGGTCCTTGACCCAAGCTGCTTGGATGCCGAAAACGAAATAGGACAGGTGGACCAGGAGGCGTGGACGAAAGAAATGACAAAGTCTGATTCCGAGGCGGAGCCTCACCAGCAAAATGACCCTGTCCATAGTCGAATGTTGACCAAAAAGCAGCTGAGTGATATGGCCTGGGGAGTTCGCGAGCTGAGCAGGCGGCTGAGCAGCATGCGCATCCGCTTCCGAGTGAGGACCATCTTTCTCCTGACAAAGATTCACGACTCGGACTTGATTGTCCACACGAGGGCCCTGGCGCAGTGGTTGCTCGGCAAAGAGCGAGATGTCAAATACGTCGTCTATGTAGAGAAACAGCTCAAGACCAACAAGAGGTTTGACGCGGCAAAGCTGATTGACGAGGTGGCTCATGAATATGCCAAGGATGGCAGCGTGACAGAGGACGTCGCTCGCGAAGGCGTGCAGAGACGCCTCCGGTACTGGGACGAGACCATGTGCAGATCGCGGCCCCATTCGTTTGACTTTGTCATTACCCTTGGAGGAGACGGAACGGTTCTGTATGCGAGTTGGCTCTTCCAGAGAATTGTGCCGCCGGTGCTGAGCTTCGCTCTGGGCAGTCTCGGGTTCCTGACCAAGTTTGACTTTGAAGACTACAAGCCGATCCTCACCTCTGCCTTTTCAAAGGGCGTGACGGTCAGCCTGAGGCTTCGATTCGAGTGCACGATTATGAGGAGCGTGCGCAAGAGGCTCTCGGAGTCAGAGTCTGACGAGGATGATGATGTGTTGCACTACAGGCGGGATTTGGTGGAAGAGCTGATTGGCGAGGAGATTGAGGATGAGCATACACATAAACCAGAGGGGACGTTTGAGATTTTAAATGAGCTGGTTGTTGACAGGGGCCCGAATCCAAGTGAGTGTTACTTTTTCCCTTTTCTTCTCTTTATCGTCTTTTGCCGTTCTATATACCTTTATCGGAAACTGAGTATGCTAATCTAAGGCATCTTCGCCTTTTCCTCTGTTGATAGCCATGTCTTTTACGGAAATCTTTGGAGACGACGAGCACTTTACTTCGGTGCTCGCAGACGGCATTTGCGTATCTACACCAACAGGTTCGACAGCTTATAACCTCGCCGCCGGGGGCTCCCTATGCCACCCCGAGAACCCCGTCATGCTCGTCACCTCCATCTGCGCCCACACGCTGTCGTTTAGGCCCATCATCTTGCCTGACACGATTGTGCTGCGTGTCGGCGTGCCCTACAACGCGAGGACGGCCTCGTGGGCCAGCTTTGATGGACGCGAGCGGGTGGAACTGCAACCCGGCGACTACGTGACGGTCAGCGCGAGCAGATATCCCTTTGCGTCGGTGCAGGCAGAAGGGCGGAGGAGCGAAGATTGGATCAATAGCATTAGTGCCAAGCTGGGATGGAACACGAGACAGAAGCAGAAGGGATTCAAGGAGTGGGATAAATGAAAAATGTGCATGATTACTTGGATAGGATAGGTATCGCATCTGCATTATGTCTTGTTTTGAATGATACAGGCGGGTTGTTACAAGGAGCTTTGCAGTCACTACCACCAATTGATTCTGATGTTTGTATAATGATCAAGAACGAAAAGAATACTACTAGTCTGTATATTAGTAGTACCTTAGGTAGCTGCCAGTATATACGTATCTACATATATGCAATCAGATAGTTGTTCTACTAGTTATATCAATCTTCTTGTAGGCGTCTAAACTGAATACCTTCTTGCGCTCAAGTTTTAAAACAATGGCCCCGCCCCCACAGCGGCCGCGGCGGGGCATGGCCAATTTGTCTTGATATTGCAACCCCACGCTAATTAACGTCCAGCGCGCGCATCTCTCTGTTTTCGAGAGCGTTTGTTGTTTTTCTACTTGTGAGATTGCTTCATTGGCTTAATGTCCGTTGGAATATAGTTCAATCGCTTCAATTGGACTCTCTCTAGCACTTCCTTTTGATTCCTCATTAGCGTCGTCAGCATCAGCATCAGCATCAGCCTCGTCCCATCCTCAGTGCTGATAAACCCCCAAGTTTTCTCAAAAAATCTCACAACGCCAACCGAACAAACTCCCAAAACAAACAGCAAAAATGGCCTCGTCCCTCCCCCCCGACCTCTTCGACCAAACCACAATCATCTCCCTCCTCTCCACCCTCGCCATCGTCCTCATCGCCTACACCACGTCGCGCCTCGTCCTCCCCCGCGCCACTACCGCCACGCTGCGCTTCCTCTTCATCTGGCACCTCGCCGACGCGCTCTGCCACTTCATCCTCGAGGGCAGCTTCCTGTATCACTGCTTCTACTCGTTTGTTCCCGCGGCCGAAGCGAGCAAGGACCTGGTGCCCACGCCGTACAATTATCTCGGATGGGGGGATAGCAGGGTGTATGGACCGCAGAGTGGCGGGGACAATCCGTTTGCGCAGCTGTGGATGGTGTATGCGCGGGCGGATAAGAGATGGGCGGGAGCTGATCTGGTGAGTTTTCGTGCTGGAAAGCCACTGCAATTGATGTGATTTCTTTGCCAACTAAGGTGTAATACAGGGCGTCATCAGTCTCGAGCTTTTGACCGTCTTCTTTGATGGACCCCTGGCGGTGTACATCTGCTACCTGATTGCAAAGGGAAGTCCCAAGGCCAGCATCTGGATGATTGTCTTGGCGACTTGTGAGCTCTACGGAGGTACGATCGATGTATAATCTTTCCTTGGAGAGATGGGAGATGATGCTAATGAGGACGACTCTAGGCTTCATGACTTTCTGCCCCGAGTGGCTCACCGGCAACATCAACCTCGACGGCAGCAACTTCATGTATATGTGGGTGTACCTGGTCTTTTTCAACATGCTGTGGGTATTCATTCCGCTGTATGCGGTTTGGTACTCGATCAACGACATATCAAACGCTTTTGCTGTGCGAGAGGGTTTCTTCAGGATAACAAACAAGAAGTTTGATTGATATCAGCAGGCGCAAAATTCAACTACATACTGCATTTGGATATCTCAACTGTGTTGCACAGGAAATGTAAATGCACAGTTTAGGGACATAGTAAGAGACTAGTTGTTGAAGGCAAAAGATGAAAACGATCACAATTCAAAAGTCGCTGTGGCGTCGATTGTAACAGTCACAGAAAATGTCCAAAGCAAAAGTAGGTCCAAATTTGTATTATTGAGCTATGACGGGGTATCGATATTCATGTCTCGTAGACACTCAGCAGCGGAGTTGTTCCATCCTGTGTTGTTCCTCCACAGTTGCTCTCATGGTCATGGTCGTGACTGTTTAGATAGCCTGCTTGTGGGCCTCGCCCTTGGCGTCGTGCTTGCTCTCGTCAACCTTGTTGCCCAGGGCGTCCTTGGCAGCGGAGGCGCTGTGAAGAAAACTGTTAGTTGCTGCCGTGTCATGAACAGATGATGAAGAAGCTTACCGAGTGCCGACGGAGGCATCAGAGTCCTTGGCGACCTGCTTGTTGGCCTCCTTCTCGGTACCAGAGGTAGCCTGCTGGACCTTCTCGGAAACGAAGTTGGCACCCTGCTTGATGGAATCCATTGTGATGTTGGTTTGGTTTGGTTTGGTTTGGTTTGAAGAGTTGTGAGTTGTCTTGATCTGAGGTTGTTGATGTGATTGTGATGAAGAGAGATTAGGTTGAGAGATGGGGGGATGAAAGAGTTTATATAGACCTGAGGAGAGACGGAAAGGCCAGCGAGCCACATGCCCAGAATAGCTTTGACATGGCATTCACTCTTTCCCCATGCATGTGAAGCAGGAACATGGCGTCATCGAATACGTGTTGCCCCTCCAAAGCTTGGTGAATACTGCCAGCAAGATCGAGCTGATGTAGAGCCGCTGCCTTGATGGCGGGGCAGGTACTTCTGGGCTTTGCTGCTTGAACCCCGATTGACTTCAGATCAGGGTGGGTGCTTGCTTCCGTCATGAATCATTAGGCGTAGATACCCGCTTTGCACCGCACAGGCTGCCTTCTCATACGCAACACTGAGTGAACACGGGCGTTTTGGGAGCTTGTTTACTGAATCTTATGACATCACGACCAAGAGGGGGAAACGTCACTGCTCGTGTGAGCTGCCGAGTAAGGCGAGCGTCTCCATCTGCCTGCGAACAGCCTTGCAAACATAGGCCTACGTCCTCCATACTGTATACAAGCTTATTTCTCTCCATGCAGCAGAAAGCGGGTCAATCGTCGAACGCGGATCAATCATTGAACGCGCAAATGGATCGAATCGAGCGCCATCCAGTTGTTGCGAGCAGATTAAATGCCAGATGTGGCTTGTGCCAGCTCCATTCAAGCAGCGATTGGAGCTCTGTCAATGGCCAGAGTGGGCGACGCCACGTGTGGCGCCTGCAGTTGGCGCTGCGGGATGTCGATATGTGGGGCCACCACAATGTATGACGTAGTCGTGGCATAATCGCTACGATGGGCTTCCCTCAGTGAGATCGAACCCGTCTGCGCTTTCCGCGTTTGCTGGGTCCGCTGATGCTCGCATCGAGATCTGCAGGACCCAACCGGAATGTTCTCTCCGGAGCATCCAAAGCGCAGTTGCATCGGTTCTACGAGGCCTTGGCTCCTGAAGCTTGTTTGCATCTTTGTTTTTGTGTGCTGGCAGCTTTGGCAGAGGCTACAAGCGGCTATCTTGGCAGGGAGCTCTTGCGCAATCTCAATCTCATATTCACATGCTTGCCACACAGAAGATCCCGAATCAACACATAGGAGAAGATGCCAGATAATCATTTACTATTGAGTTTTACTGAGTTTGGCAACCTATGACGCCATGATGCTCATCCTGACTCTCTGAAGAGGGGATAAATCGCCTGCCGTCGCTGTCGAGAGCCGATGGCTGACGAATTCCTTGCCGATGGGAACTCCACACGCGGAATCAAAGTCACGATGCCAATATTGGGTTTCAATTTTGGGATCCCGGCAAAGTTGTCACGTGAATTGGGGCGGAGAGATTCCATCAACGTGTGTTTACGATTGTTGCCTTACCATCTATGATATGTGATTCAAGTGTAGCTTTTTGATGCCAAGTGGCAGATTGTAGCAATAGATTCCGGCCTGGTGACTACTGTTTTTAGGAGGCAGACCATTAAAGAACATGGCCAAGTTGACTCGGTTCTAGATAAATACTTTTACTGGCTGCCGAGGACAGTGCTGGCCATTGAGAACCAAGAAATGGTACTTCCTACAAAGTATGGCAAACGTTTATGAGGGGAGAGGAGAAGAGCTTCTGTATCCTGTGAATAGCTTCTTGGCTTTGTCCAATGTGCATATATGTGCTCTGAATCCATCAGACGCCTTGTCACTTTTGAACTTGGAATATCGACAAGTCATCTTCTGGAACAGATCTAGTCTAACGCACCTGGCCCAAACAATGCGGTAAAGACTAGAGACATGCAATATCATGATAGATTGATGATAGATTGAGGCTTGCTTCTACATAAGTTGCCGAATCTGGTATCTTATCAACGATAAAGAGAAGCAGCTAATGCATTAACCTGATATTGGAGGTACGTGCATTCAATTCTTTAGAAACAGAGTCAACCAGACCCAAAAGCGTTGGACTGCTCAGGCGATGCTCATTGTCACTTATCACATCGGCCTAGGTTATTTACATACGTAGGTAGCTAAGGCTATTTAGATAAGATTATGAAACCACCCAACGCTGACAGTTGCTGTTTATCTGATGAATACCGTATCACCTGGAAGATTGGCTAGTGGATATCGTCATAATCTGATCGAAACTGCCCCATGGTTTCCTTAGAAGAGTAGCCGGCTAACTTGTAACAGTAAGCATACAGAGAGGCTCACTGGCCAATTCTTCGAGATTTTCGGTATTGCTCCTGTCACATTGCAATCCAGATTCCACGCACGCGTTGCGGTGCAAATACCCAAGTCAATAACAGTCGCAAGCTGCTCACCCCATCAGTCACTTCATTTGATGCTATTTTTTGTCCAAAAATGACCCGCAGCCATTGAGAACCAGCTCCCGGCACCAGGGGTTCTCCGCGAACAGCTCAGGCCCCTTTGAGCATAGCGGCACTTCCGCGTCTTACCGCATTCGGAACCATTCTGGTGACTGCCTACAGCAATAGCTTCAACTCGTCGAACCTCTAACAAGGGCTCCTGACATTTGAAACTCGAGTTTGTTCCACGTTTGCTTCAACCCCGCCGCTACCGGCCCTTGGAAAACCGGCCATCACAGCTGACGCGAGGACGGATACGGGCGATGGGACCTTCATTTTGATGAGAGACGCGGCGATAAAGGACGATGTGGCAAGTTTTTGAAGCGGCGACCGAAGATGCCCTGGCTGCGCTTCTTGGGTTATCTGACTGACGCAGCTAAGAGGCGCCACAGGAACTCGATACGGACGGATTCTGTTATCAAGAGATGAAGGGGCTTGTCTTCTTCTTGGCTGACTTCTTCTCGTGCATCACATAGAAACGATTAGTAGCACCCCGTCAATAGTCCGTATCAGGGTCTCATCCAAAAAAGGACGGCGTGAGAGCTTATTGAAAGCATGAGTCCCTAATCTCAACGGCCAATACACTTACCATTCTATCCCCCCCCTGGCCAAGACGATGGCGTCAATTCCAAGACTTTGTGTCGATTGAAACACAGCACCCATGTCCCTCTGGAATCGGGCTGTGTCCATGTATCCCTTCTCCCAACGGCCCTCGTCCGGATCTCCATAACCCGGTATTCCTTGCTCTTGACTGTGTTTCTTTGCCCCACAATGTTCCGCCATCTCAATGTTCTCGCCTCTCTCCCTTCTCTCTCTTCTAGATGTTTTCTCTTCTTACCTCTACTCGCTCTGGTAGCGATCCTTGGCGTCAATCTGGAGTAGATCGTGTTTCTGCTATTTCCTTTCTTTCCATCTTCTCTTACCTTTTTTTTGTGTTGAATTTCTTTTTCTGTGTTTGCAGTCGTCTGGACGGCTGACATCCAACCCGTTTTATATTTGGTTTATTTGAGTAGAGAGGGACTGGGGGCACTTGCAGGCATGCAGCTCTTACCTCTATAGGCCTCGTTTTCTCATTCGCTTCTTTGCTCCCGCAGGACGATAGCAACATTTTCCTCTCCTGAACTTACTCTCGCTTTTCTCTATACGACGACAACACAACTCGAGTGGGATAGAGTGTGTCAATGGCGATCTGAGGCGCGGCTCGCTGGGGGGCTTCGACGCCGGTGTTTATTTCGATTTATTTTCTCATCTCTCGCTATATACAGCAAAAAGGCCGTAAAGGGGCGATCAAGGCAATCATGGATGGCTGGAACATGTTGTTTGAAGAACAAAATGGGGCGAATGGGGTATGGGCCAGGCAGACGGACAATAGTGCGGCAGGATTCCCGTTCATGGACAATTCGACATCTTCAGTCATCAACAACCTCAAGTTCACCATTGCCAAGCAAGTTCGATCTATGATTACTATCCTTGCTGGGTTTAACACTGCTATTGCCTTGATATTGGCAATTATCATCATTCGGAATTGCTATAAAACGACGAAGCAAAATGACCCGACTTTCAGACTTCGGTATGGTTGCTTAGCAGACATATACTTTACCTTGCTAACTTCACATCAGTAGTTCTTCATTTTTCCATGTTATAGATGTATCAGAGATATTTCCGTTTGTCCTATCCATCGGCATAGCAGTACAGGGGATCATCTATATCGCTTGTCAGACCAAAGGCCTCGAGGGGTTGCTTATACTTGGATGCACGTCTATTTCTCAGGCCATGCTACCAGGTAAGTCTCTGGCGTCAGGCACCACTCTGACTCTTTTGTTAACCACTGCTACCAGCCTTATTTCTTGTCCCTTATGTCCAGCTTTTCTTTGGGCTGGAGACAGTTCTACAGGCGCTGAGGCCGCGGCCGTTCCAACGAACGCCTAAATGGGCCATCTATTCCTGTCTCTTCCTTGTTCTTCTTGGAACATTGGTGATGTACGTGTTGACGCGCGTCATCAAAGCTCCCGACTTTTGCTATGCATCTCTCTTCTGGTTTGTCCAAACCTGGAGACTCGAAGCAGCTATTCTCCTAACTACAATTGCTTGTATCTTGATCATTGGGGCTATCATCATATTCGCTCGACTGCACCAAGGTGCTTCAGTCGGCCATGTTGAAAGGGCGACCGCCTCTAGAATGGTTTACTACATGATTCTAGGCGCTATACTAAACGTATGTCCTCATGATCAATCCCTTTCTTTTTCAAAATGTGGATGGCTAACAAAGAGAGCACAGGGGTTAACGGCTCCTTACTTCTTCAGCATCTTGTCTCAAAACCCAATGGCCTTAACGACTCTGCAATTGGATTTGAACATGGTATCTTCGGTGGCGAGCAACGTGTCGGGAATCACGTTTGGCGCTCTCTATCTCTTTCTTCGCTCCCGCAAGATGCAAAAGATTGGGCCGCTTGGACATATCGAGCTTGGTGGCCCACGGGAAAAGTCTGTTGATTCTTGGCCTGGGTCAGACATTTTCAACAGGCAAATTGGACAGCCCGTCTCGCCGGCGAGAATAGTCCAATCTCGCGCAAGCACGACGAGGTCAGCAGCCAGCGAAGGAAAGAGAAGCCTTGACGGACAAGACACGATATTCCACGCAATATCTGGCGGAGACGCTGCAGACGGCTCCGACTTGATAAATGTGCCTTTGACGCCAGTTATGCCTCGAGCCCGAAAGGATTCTTATAGCTTGTTTCCAAACCAACGGGAAACGCTTGACATCAAACCTCAAAGCACCGCCATTCTTCCCTCTACGACATACTCGCCAACAGGGAGCAACAGCAACGAGGCACCAGACAACCAGATGTTTAACTTTGAAGACCTGTTACCACCACCAACAATCCGCGTTTCGGGCGCTCCCAGACACAATCGCGACTCTTCTTTGGTCTCTGGCCTGACCGTACAGATTGGCCTCAGAGTATCCAATCTTAGCGACGTGAACCGCTTGGAGGCCCCCTATTTCTTTTCTCCCGAGATGCCGTTCTCACCAAATCAACAGAACTGGCCATTGGCTCCAGGGACGCCCACCAACCGCACGAACGGAGCCGCTTCTCGCCTCAACAGCATGGCTTTCAACGACGGTAGAAGCAACAATATGCCTCACTCGCCCATCAGAACAACTATTGAGGTAAGGTATGATCAAGAGCAGGATCACGATGAAGACAAGCCAATCACCCTGAGCCCTACGGTGTACAGCCCAAACAAGCCGCCAACTCCACCAGCAGCTGCGCATCACAGGGGCATGGCATCTACTCCGTCAACGCCAGGTGCTGCGAGAACTGATGAACGATATTCAGTAGGCACTGCTGAGTGGATATAGTTAACTGACGACTTGATTATTTTTTACGAGTTTGGCTGTTTTCATCGTTTCTTGAAACTGAGAAACATTCTTCTTATACTCATACGTACACTCACCCTCCATACCCCGATACGATCCACCCTTTTTCTTTCCTTCTCATACTCCTTCCCCCTTATCCTCTTTTCTACAATTTGTCCTTCTGTGAGGGACGCTCTTTATTTGACGGCTATCGGAATTGGCAAAGGGGGGCATGTGCCATACTGGGTTAAATGTGGTCATTTCTAGCAAGCGAAGATGATGTATTTTTATTTTCTTTTATTTCTATTTTTCTTTCATCTTCTTTTCTCTTCTTTCACTCTTTCTCCCCATCGCTGGGACACTGGATATTGCGACGTATGAAATGGGCTATTTTATGAACAAACAAGATATAGAAGAAATAAAGCTCTAGACAAGCCTAAGAGATTTTGTTATCCTTGCCCCTTAATAAGTTCGTAGTTGCTGTCATCGTTTGTAATGTAAAATGAGTGCATCGCATAATTACGCTTAACCGCTTTGCTGACATTGCTATCATGATTTTTATATGTTGTATTCTACATATCATTTGTAGATGTTCTTTTCTTCTCCTTATTTCGCTTTCGCCGTTTTCTTCTCTTCCCATTTTTCCCACCCTGCCTGGCACATGTCCTCTTCCACCACCAGATCGCGTATCCTCAGCATCCTCGCCGGTGGAAGCTCAATGCCCCAGGCCAGCCATCCCGTCCTCCTCAAAATCTCCGTTGCTACGAACCAGACCAGCGCAAACACGAAGCCAGCAGTGACACCAGCAGCAACTTGTTTCGTCGTATGATAGTTGAGGTATATCCTGCTCCACGCCGTCGCCGCTGCCACAACAACACCAGCAAGACTAACAGCCAGCCTCTCGATTAGAGTCCAGGGTCGGCCGCCCTCCCATATCTTCGCCTTCCCCTGAGCTGACAGCGGTTTGTGTCGCACCAGCAGAAACAAGGCTAGGGAGAGGCTCCAGAAGGCGACGAACTGGGCGTGCGAGCTGGGCATGCCGTAGCCCTTGCCGTGGATGAGGCGCGGACGCTCTTCCTTGATGATGCGCTTGAGGACGAAGTTGAGGGCCTCGCAGGCGAGCTGGCCGGCAAAGGCGAGACATACTTCAGCCTCGCGCGTTGAGAATATTAGGGTGGCGTAGACGACGCAGAGAGCTTGCGGGAGGAGGGCAAGGTAGGCGCATAGGAGGGAGATGTAATCGTCAGGGTCCTGGGAAGAAGTAGAGTCGTATTAGCTAGAGAATCGCAGATGGAGAACTGGAATAGTGATTAGTGGAAACTTACATAGTAGACGTGTGTGACAGAGAGAGAGGCGAGGGTTTGGGTATATTCGTCGGCCATTCTTGCTAAGACTAGATGGGTGATTTGGCTGCAAATGGCTATGTTCAAACGAAGTTGCAAAACGCTAGTAGATGCATGATATCAGTGGTGGAGACGAAGAGGAAGAGGAAAATAAAGGCAAAAAAAGACGCAATGGAAGAGAATAGAAGCCAGTAATAGCTCGCGAGAAAATATTATATGTTATAGATTGTCGGCGTTGACCATCATGCATCGTGCAGACACATCAGATGGAAGAGAAGTCAGGATGAATGACGATGCACACCTGAGAGTGGAATATGTCAAGCTGCCTGCATGTGACGGAAGGGCGGCTGAGGCTGGAGAACAGAGAGAAACGTGGCTTAATTTGCAGCTGTGGCGCAGAGGCTCCAGGTGCTGGGGCAGCGTCCTTTTAGTGGTAAAATTAGCCACGGCAAGTGACGCATACAATGGACGGCTTTTTTTTAGATTACAGGGAAGACACTAATAGAGATTTAACTATCAGTGTCAAATTCTAGGCTTTTGAAAAATCTATATCTGCTTTCTTCTAGAGTTTGTTTCTTAAATATTCTCTCTGCCTTGTCATTTCTTTCATATCTGCCCCGTCAACTGGTCATCTCGATCAAACATATTATTGTAGCCGTGTGCGTTAGTCGGGCGGGTGCCTTGGATATGATTGGATTAGCAATTATCAGCGACTAAGGCAGAACCTCACCTTTACTCACGCTTTGCCACAGCTCGCTCGCAGCTTTTTCCGCCAGCTTTCTGCCAGCTCAGATTTCTTTTATCTCATTATCTATTTATTGCTTTATTGCTATTCTGCCCTCGCTATCCGTCCCATCTCTGCAGCTTCACTTCTCCAGCAGCAGCAGCCCCCCCATCTCATCCCCTCTTTTCCAGTCTAAGCGGACATGCTGCAGCTGTGCCACCAACATGGATCTTTCCACAGCCGATGACGACGAAGCTCGCGCCACAGAGCTTGAGACCCTCGAGGCCATCTATCCCGAACTTCGGCGGACAAACGACAGTGGCTATGCCTTTGAGCTTGAGCTGCCCGTGGAACCGGCCGCGCCCGTAACCGTCACCTTTCCAGCGGCGGCTTCATCTGACCAGCTTCTGAACGGCTCAACATCTGCCGCTCCAGCCCTGGAAGATTCTCTCCAGGTCTCTCATCTGCCGCCCCTTGCTTTGCACATCACGCTGCCAGAAGGCTATCCCGCAGAATGTGCCCCTCTGGTCAAGATCTCAACCACGCCTCAGTGGCTCTCGGCTGAGATGCTTTCACGCCTTGCGGGAGAAGCACCCCGGCTGTGGGAGGAAATGGGACGAGATCTGGTGGCCTACGCTTATATCGATCATGTCCAGCGGGCCGCTGACGACGTATTCGGGGCCATCACTGCCGAAGGCACTCTTCAAGTCCACCCAGAGCATAAACTCGCTGTGCTGGACTACGATATCAAAGCTAAAAAGGCGGCCTTTGATAAGGAAACCTTCGATTGCGGCATTTGCTTAGGTATGAAACACTTCAACATCTCTACTTTCGTGTACTCTATACTAACTCGCTATAACGCTGCATAAGATCCGAAGAAAGGGTCAAAATGTCACAAGATGCTTGACTGCAGTCACATCTTTTGCTTGCAATGCCTCCATGACTTCTACAACGATGCCATCAAAGAGGGCAACCTATCAACCGTTCGCTGCCTGGCCCCCAACTGCGCCAAAGAGCGGGCCGCCGCCATCAAAGCTGCAGGAAACAAGGCAGGCAAGCCCAAGACCTTTGTTAGCCCCAGCGAGTTGCTGCAGATTGGCCTCGCTGACGACATGGTCAAGCGTTATGTTGATCTCAAGTACAAGACGGAACTTGAGTCTGACAAAAACACCATATATTGCCCGCGGCAGTGGTGTAATGGAGCTGCACGCTCCAAGAAGCACAAGAAGCCTTTGGGGCTCGACTTTGGAGAAACGTCGGATGCCGAGTCTGACCAAGAGGAGGAGAATGAAAAGGGGGGAAGCAAGTTTAACCTTGGTGACTTGCTCTCTGTCTGTGAAGACTGTGGGTTTGCTTTTTGCAGTCGGTGCTATCAGTCATGGCATGGGGAGTTCTTCCATTGCGCACCCAGGCGCCAAAACGGTGAGCTCACTGAGGATGAAAAGGCCTCCATCGAGTATCTCAAGCTGCATACGAGTCCCTGCCCAACCTGTAATGCCCCTGCACAAAAGACTCACGGCTGTAACCACATGATATGCTCACGATGTGACACGCACTTCTGCTATCTGTGCTCCTCGTGGCTGGATCCAGCGAACCCGTACCGGCATTATAACCAACAAGAAAATGGCAAGGTCACATCATGCTATATGCGTCTGTGGGAGCTGGAAGGAGGAGATGGCGATGACGTCGGCCTGGAGTTTGCCGGCGGTCGAGGCGCCGCACTCCACGAGGACGCCCCTGAAGCCGCACCGGACGATGGTGAAGCTCAGGAGTGGCTCGCCATAGCTGTCGAAGAGGTGGACGACGATGCTGAAAACAATGCCAACGCCAACGCAGCAGTGCAGCTTGACGAGAATGGCCAGAGAGTTGCGGTAGCTCGCGAAGCACCTCTTGTTCTACGACTCATGGACAACCCCGTCAACAACGGCCACAACAACGATGATAACAACCAGGGGCGTGGCGGGCATCATGCTGCAAACAACCAGCCCATCAGAGCACGCGGCGGTGGAGGAGCTGGAAGAGGACGTGCCAATAATGCACAGGGCCCAAATCGCGGTGCAGGCCAAGCCATCAACTACAATGGCAGAGGCAATGTCGCCAATCGCGCCAGGGGCGCCAGAGGCGATGCCCGCCGAGGCCATGATGGTGGACGAGGAGGAGCTCGAAGACGAGAAGGCGGAGGCCCAGGTCGAGGCGGCATGGTTCGTGGCGAACCTGCTGCAGCGGCAGCGGCAGCAGTAAGGCAACAGAATCCAAATCTTGACAACAACGCCAACAACAACGAGGACGTGCTCGATCCTGCTCAAGAGGCTTGGATCCGACACTTTGTTCAGATGGCTCTCATCGATGCCGAAGATCAAGTAGAAGGCGGCGATTCAGACGAAGATAACGAGCATTGGCGTCGTCGGTGACAGTTGCGGCGGCGACACAAAAGCATGAGTTCTCAAAAGGATGCCCTACGAATGACATAAAAAGCATACCCCCCTGAAAAGGAGGCTCTACGAACGCACACATACAAATTCTCACGTTTTCACCTATTTCTTTGGGCTCTTCAAAATCTATACTTTTTTTTTTTTTTTTTTAGGCTAGTGATTCTAATCGTTTTGTTTTTTCTCTTCACGCATCTACAGAGCGATCTTGGCAACAAATCTTCCGGGATTAGGAAACAAATTGTGCGAAAAAGTTAAAACATTTTCAGCTGAATCTGATATTTTCCTCGGCCATGTAGTCGGGAATTTGCACCGCTGCGTGGAGACACTGCATGTGTTTGTCCGGTCGAATTCAAACTCTGTCCTTAGTATTTAGCTTGAATAGAACGTTACATACCGTACCTACCTAGGTAGACGCGGGCGTACAACATTTGATCGTGCTTGGACGCTTCTTTAGCGACCGACGACGCCGCTATGCGATCTGCTTATTAGTGCTGTCAATGCGTATGGCGCCAACTTACACCCGCAACAGAGCAGACGCCACTACCGGGCCCGAGCACAACTGTAGTCACTTTGACGAATATGTCGATCCCCGCCTATCGTGTTGAAAACAGAAGGTTGATGATCATGTCATCCGGCACCCATCTCCAGGGCCAGGTACGCAAAGACGAAGTGCCAGGTACCGCTTCTAGCCAGTAGAAGCCCCATCTCGGCCGCCTGACGAGAGCATTCTCCGTAGGCTGCACCTCGTACGGTATATGGAGCCCTCTGGATTGCCGTGTCTCTAGTATCGATGGAGCTGAGCGGCCGGAACGCAGCCACCACATACCTGCTCGTACATACTGCCGCATTGGGCCAATGGTCATGGCGGAGAATCCCTTTCGGGCCGGCCGCCTCACCTGGCCGGCGACTCAGGGCTCTCGTCCGTCGCCTTTTGCTGGAAGCTCTCTGGTAAGACATGCTTGTCCACGCTTGTACATACTGCAGTGGCTAACGGGTCCCCTGGTCTCCGAGCCCACGCGGCGAACGGAGCAACAAATCGTGCAGATTTTTTGGGGGCCAGGGGTTGAACAGCATGGGTCCGTCTATAAGAAAAGAAAGGAAAGGAAAAGGCTATGAGACAAAAGAGGAACGAAGAAAAAAAAGGCCAGCAGGAAGGCACTGCAAGACAGTCTAACCAAAGAAGAGCAAAGCTTTGACACTGCCAAGCACCAGAACTTGCATCGTAGGATTCTTCGCCAGCACTTGCTTGTATATGATAGCATACTTTATATAGCATAAACCAGTATAAGCGGCATGTCGATTGGCAGCAACGGCTAAATAAAGATTATGCCGCTTTTATAATTCACCTTTCCAGCCTATCAAAGCCAAGGCAGAGAGGCAAAATAACTTTGTTGAGGCTAAAGGCCTGGTAGGGAAACGATAAGCTTGAAGAGTATGTTGCTTAGTTCATTAAGCATAAAGGCTGGGTACCTTGCGAAATGCCATCATCTGTGAGCAGAAAGCCGCGTTGGCCTGGCCCCTTCCTCATCTTTCAACTGAGACATGCAGTATGAATGGCTTGGCCATACAGCCTTGCCTCTTCACTTCAGCAGCGGCCAAGCGGTCCCGTCTCACTATTGTGGTCCGGCTTTCCTGGACTCGGTCTGAAGTCAAGGCGGCCGACATTCATTCAATCGCTAGCCAAATACTCGTAGCCATAAACAGTCGAACAAAAGTGCATCCAAACTTTGCGTCCAAGCTTCTCAGCCGACCAAATCGCTCCTGTGAGTGATGAAACATCCACCTCTCGTAGACTAATAGCGCCCCACGAGAGTAGGAACATTACTGCTATACCGTTATTAGTGCCCAGGCTAGTGTCAGTACGAGCCATACTACCTCATGCAGAGTAGCAATGCATGGGCAGGCGACTTGTATGAGTAGCAGTAGGTAGTAGTATGTAGGTACTGGCACTACATTTTAAATACGTCCGATCGGCTACTTCGGGACGGTACAAGAGCCCGTCTCACATTGACAGCGTGACAATAGGTGGTACTATTGCATTCCTTAGCAATGGACTAGAACAGACCCCTAGCGTAGCATCAATAGTCCTTCGAGGAGTCGATGGCACTTGTCAAGGATAGCGGACTGCTGTGTATGAGTGCTCTACTACGAACAGAGCAACCGGTACTTGCTGATGATGCCAAGTTGACACCTGATGAGGATTTGATAACGTGATGAGTGTGTGTGCATACATGCATCCGTAGTGCCATCGTCCATTAGAAATGCATGATAGCCATGGCTTATTTCATGATGATGCGTATGCAAGAGAGATCTGACAACAGAGTGCCGCTAACATCTCAGATCAACTCGTGGAATTCCGAAAGCTTGATATCAGAGCGTGAATAGTCTCTCTGCTGGACACCGGTCACAAGGCCATGCGATCACATCTTGCCTTACCCCAGCCGGGCTGTGGCAGACGTCTAGTGAAGCTGCAGAGATGTCACACCAGGCCGAGGAAGATGTCAAGGGTGGCGCCAGATATACGACTCATAGCAGCAGCAGATCCGGCTCGTGTCGCGGAATGAGATTACAGTGGCTGATACTATTATTCTGCTTTCTTTGCCGCATGAAGACGGAGTTGGTGATCTACTCCGTAATACTACTACTTTGAGCAGTGTAAAACAGCCACTCGTACGAGTAGTACTTTCGGATGGTGTAGTCTCAAGACAGGGCGGATGAGGTATTATTCAACAGTGGGTGACATCCCGCTAGCCGTATCTCTGGTCGCTTAACTGGGGTATGCCTACTGCTCGGTTAGAATGAGCGTCTCTGTTAATTCTTGCCGTTGCTAGATGGCGCGGGTTGATAGACGCCCTGCGCTTATTTCATCGTATAACATGCTCAGATGAGTCCCGAGTACTGCTACAGTAAACGACTGCTGTTAGGTGGTATCGGAGGCTTTACGGCATTCCATATGCGCGTATCAGTTGCGTGCTTGGGGACCTGCTTACCCCTTCTTTGAGTATACTTAGATGTGTATTCTGATGGAAGAGCTCTAATATTCGCGCATATCATCAAGCCAGGCGTATATGTCAAGCGTGACCAAGACTAAATCGTCGGCTTTTTAGAGCTCAAGCACATAACACCGCGGACTTTTGTTCGGACTTTTCGATTATCAGCCGCTTTGTGATGACGCCGCTCCCTGGACATACCGTCTCTACCTCTTTTTCTCTCTCTCTCGTTCTCCGTCTTCTTCTAGTTCGGTCGAGCGCCGTCCATGTAACAGCCGACAATACTTGCAAGTACTGCAAGTACAGTAAGAAGCGGCTGGCAAAGCATGCCCCTGCTAGGCATAATTCGTAAATTGATCTGGCCAATCTGCTCCATGGCAAGCTATGCGGCCGCGGCACAGATGCTTGTATCCGCGCCCACAGCTCTATTCATGCAGCGGATGCTCCACACAAGCTAAACCGAGTAGCATGTCCACTTGCCACTGTCACAAGGATTACTTCGTGGTAGTACAGACTACCTGTACCTCGTGGTACCGCACCCTGTAGTCTCGTCTCTTGGCAGGGCATGTACTTGCGAGCTGCCCATGCACTACAGAGCCTTGTAGCAAAGCGACAACCTCTATCGCGGGGTTTCTGCGGGCCAGACCACAACGGCGCCTGTTCCTTACGGGGTAAGGTGGAAGCAGGGGCACCGCTGCCACCGGACCAGGAGTTTAGGCGCGTACTGGCCAACACCGGCTGTAAGGGCTCGGCCGCCGGTACGATGGCCAACAGAAGCCTCTTCGCAAGCGAGACTGGCAATCCGACTGTCGCAAACTGGTCGCGGCACCGTGATCGACGCCTAGCAGCATTCTAGGTAGGTGGTCTGTTGATTCGACCACAAGCGGGAAAAGCGATTATCTATCTATTCATGACCCTAGCGCCGGGCATATGAAGAGGCAGGCTGAGTGAAACGCATAGGTATGTAGATACAGTATACTGTATCTATAGACCCCTCTTGTAGTTGTAAATTCATCTCGCGATCGCGAAGGCCATTTCTTTATAAATAACCCTAGGGGCCCCGTTGTTCAAGGATTGTGAATGCTTTGCAGACCAGGGATCTGCATCTTACTACCAAAGCGTCGTAGATCATCACGCCTGGGGATGGCACCCTGTGCTACTAGTACCAAAGTAAGTATGTGACAGTAGGCAGTTGTTGCCGAATGCGACATGACAAGACGACTAAAAGGTCTTTTTCTCAGGATCTTTTGATTCGACAATCGAAGCGACCTGCGAAGTCGTTGCCTTGGATATGACGGAAATAGAGACAGAACTGAGCTTGATGCCTTTATTGCGAAGGAACGAATTACAGCGAGCTGGACTGCATATGTGCTCCAAATTCCCAAATACCTCCGAGATGCCGATGGGGCGTGTAGGTAGGTGGGTAGATATTATACGTCTGGATGGATATGGAGCACTATTCTTGCGTAAGATAATACTTTGTAGTCGTATGGGTAATAGGCAGTAATAGGTAGTAGATAGATCCGATCCGGAGCACCTACATCTCGCGGTGGTAATTCGCGTATAGCGGCCTCCCAATAAGCACCCAAACAAGGCCGGTTAAGCTGACACTCCAATTATAGCGCTTTGCAAATGAGTGTGCTTGTATTTGCAGGAGGAGAAAGAGAGCCTCCAGTTCCTTGAATTACTGCTGGTGATGGAGAAAAACCTTGGATGTGTCATCTGACAAATGAGATTGCATGAATGCCTCGGATGATTGTGCGTGATCTCATAGAATTCTAGCGGTGGGTGGTGAAGCTTGTACTCGTACGTAGTGGCTCGCCGTAATGAGTGGCGATGGGTGATGGGTTCGACCCTCCATGCGAGTGCCGATACAGCTCTGTGACGTCGCTAAAATGACTTCGGGCAAAAGCCGAGGGGCTAGCCATAGCATGTGTGTATGCATAGTTGTATGAAGCTCACAGAGTCGGCGCAGAGTGCCCTGAATAA